ATGATGATAATGATGATAATGATGATAATGATGGGGTTCAATGTCACGTTTTTATGTAAAATATGAAGAAATAAAAATCCTAGTGGAAACGCTACCTTAAAACCATTAAACTGAATGAATTCTCTAAGAAGGTCATCATTGGCAGAACCTTCTCTATGAGTTTAAGGATCAGCTTGAACCCGTCCTCCTGCAACATTGACATCATGATCAGGGTTAACTATACATTTAGTGCTTTGCTTGTCTGTTTCTTTATTTGTTTCCAATAAACGTCAAAACGGCCAAATCGATCGGGCCCAAAAGGTCAAATTTGAAAATTGTTGCCTTTGAAAAATGTCATTATTTTTTTTAGGAAAATGTATAAATTTAAACCAAAAAATCCACGAAGAACGATAAACTAAGAAAAATGGGAGCTTGAAGATGAAACTGTTATTAGTAAAGTAGGCGGTACCCTAGTAAACTACATTGAAGCAGAAGAGAGGAAATTGTTAATCTAGAAATAAATTTAAATTTAACTCAACAGATAAGGTTCAACACAAAATCGTAGATTTTCCCCCATTTAGCGAGAAAATAAAAAAATTTGCTCAGAAATATTTCTTACATACTGGGGGGAACTAGTTGTTAAGAGAGAAGGGGAATATTAAACCCCTGGTTTGAACCAACCTCCACTAGCTGAGAGTTGAAGCTGACAAAACTGTCTTCAGCCTCCTTCCTGAAATCATAGGATCGGAACTGATAAACTTTCTGGAAATGGTGAAGGGTAGCTAGAGCCTGAAAAAAAGATAATCATAACGATAATGATGACAATGATGACAATGATGACAATGATGACAATGATGACAATGATGACAATGATGACAATGATGACAATGATGACAATGATGATAATGATGATAATGATGGTAATGATGATAATGATGGTAATGATGATAATGATGATAATGATGATAATGATAATGATGATAGTAATGATAGTAATGATAAGAATGATAAGAATGATAAAGATGATAATGATGATAATGATGATAATGATGATAATGATGATATTGATGATATTGATGATAATGATGATAATGATGATAATGATGATAATGATGATAATGATGAAAATGATGAAAATGATGATAATGGTGATAATGGTGATAATGATGATAATGATGATAATGATAATAATGATGATAATGATGATAATGATGATAATGATGATAATGATGATAATGATGAAAATGATGATAATGGTAATAATGATAATGATGCTGATGAAGATGATGAAGATAATGATGAACGCCATGATAGCGATGATAGCAATGATAGCAATGATAGTGATGATAATGATGATAATGATGATAATGATTTATAATTTGGTGATGGTGATGGACCAAACCACTGTAAAGTAAAACAGTAGAAGATAGTTTCACATTTTATTGAAAATATATTTCAGTCTGTGTTGACCCTCGTCAGTTCAAATGATATAATACCCATCAAAATCAATAATAAAAAATGTGAAAAATCACAATAAAATGAACAAACAAAAAAGAATATTTAAAAAAATGGGCTGTCAAAAGGACAAAAGGTAAACGAACTCAGATCATGAAGTGGAAAAAATAATTTGCAAATATTCCCTTTTTAAAGAATATTTTAAGACAATTATTATTCCTTTAGATTGTTTCTGTCATGATATTGATGATAATGATGATAGCGATGATAACAATGATAGCAATGATAGCAATGATACCAATGATAGCGATGATAGTGATAATAATGATAATAATGATAATAATGATGATAATAATAGCGATGATGACAATGATAGCGATGATAATGATAATAATGATGATAGTGATGATAATGATGATAGCGTTGATAGCGTTGATAGCAATGATAACAATTATAGTGATGATAGTGATAATAATGATGATAATGATCATGATAACGATGGGGATAATGATATAAAATTCCTTTTTTTAACTCCCTTACTTCCTTTAACACCTTTCTTGCAAACCTCCCATTCGTCCCAACTTCTTAACTTCCCTCTGTAGTCTCTTCCCAATTCCCAATCCTAATTCTAAATTCCCTTTTTTATACAACTTTTCTTTTTTCCAATTTATCCTTCCCTTGCCATATCTTTATTCTTATCTCTCCCCCTCCTTTCCCCTTTACCTGTGTTAAATGTGAGGGTAATGGTTCCTGTATCTCCGCAATACAGGATAATACTTCCGATACATTCGACGCGTTCGACAAAACCTAAAACATATCTGACTGAATACTTATTTTTTATAAAGCTCCATTTAAATCAAGGTGGAAAATCCGATTTATTACGGTTCATTACGGTTCATTACGGTTCATTACGGTTCATTACGGTTCATTACGATTCATTACGGTTTATTACGGTTCATTAAGGTTCATTACGGTTTATTACGGTTCATTACGGTTCATTACAGTTTATTACGGTGTATTACGGTTTATTACGGTTTATTACGGTTCATTACGGTTCATTACGGTTCATTACAGTTTATTACGGTTCATTATGGTTTATTACAGTTTATTACGGTTCATTACAGTTTATTACGGTTCATTACGGTTCATTACGGTTCATTACAGTTTATTACGGTTCATTACGGTTCATTACGGTTCATTACGGTTAATTCCGGTTTATTACGGTTCATTACAGTTTATTACGGTTCATTACGGTTCATTACGGTTCATTACGGTTCATTACAGTTTATTACGGTTCATTACGGTTCATTCCGGTTCATTACGGTTCATTACAATTTATTACGGTTTATTACAGTTCATTACGGTTCATTACAGTTTATTACGGTTTATTACGGTTCATTAAGGTTCATTATGGTTTATTACGGTTCATAACGGTTCATTACAGTTTATTACGTTGTATTACGGTTTATTACGGTTCATTACGGTTCATTACGGTTCATTACAGTTTAGTACGGTTCATTACGGTTCATTACAGTTTATTACGGTCCATCACAGTTTATTATGGTTCATTACGGTTCATTACGGTTCATTACGGTTCATTACGGTTCATTACGGTTCATTACGGTTCATTACAGTTTATTACAGTTCATTACAGTCCATTACGGTTCATTACAGTTTATTACGGTTTATTACGGCTCATTACGGTTCATTACGGTTCATTACGGTTCATTACGGTTCATTACGGTTTATTACGGTTCATTACGGTCCATTACGGTTCATTACGGTTCATTACGGTTCATTACGATTCATTACGGTTCATTACGGTTCATTACGGTTCAATACGGTTCATTACAGTTTATTACGGTTCATTCCGGTTCATTCCGGTTCATTACGGTTCATTACAATTTATTACGGTTTATGGTTCATTACGGTTCATTACAGTTTATTACGGTTCATTACGGTTTATTATGGTTCATTACGGTTCATTACGGTTCATTACGGTTCATTATGGTTCATTACGGTTTATTATGGTTTATTACGGTTTATTACGGTTTATTACAGTTTATTACGGTTTATTACTGTTTATTAAGATGTATTACGGTTTATTACAGTTTATTACGGTTTATTACGGTTCATTACGGTTTATTACATTTTATTACGATTTCTTATAATTTATTACGGTTCATTACGGTTTATTACGGTTCATTACGGTTTAATCCTGTACATATGTATCCCCTGAGTCTGGATAAAGAAAATATACAAGCCTCCTCCTCACCTGTATATATGTATCCCCTGAGTCTGGATACAGAAAATGTCTGAGATCAAACAATGGATCCTGAGCCTCGTATCCTTGCTCAAATATCTCCTCAAAATACATCTCCGTCACAGCGCTGTCCTTCACCTGGAGAAATACAAGTTGTCCCACATAGTATGGAATCATTCAATTCTCTAAATTAGGATTTTTGGGACGTATCAGAAAATGTTGTATCTTGGATACAAACCAATACTATAAGAAAGAACGAAAGATATAATATAACAATATAACATGGTTAGATTTTTCATAGAACCCCCCCCCCCCGGCCCCAAACACTAATACAATTATTCAAATACAAAGTAAATTTTAAATATTTGACTTTGACAAAACCAAAATAAAAAATTAATCATGTATTTTTTGTTTTCTTTTTTTATCTCTTTCTACAGCAATAAAAGAACTTCTTTTTACCCAAGTCCAAATGAAGGGAAGATATTTGAACAAACCAAACCAAACCAAACTAAACCAAACAAAAAATCAGATCCAGCAGATACAAGTAAAACATGTTAGAAAAAGCTTATGAAATAAAAAAAAAAATATACAAAATACCCTCTTTTGAAAATATGGAACTTTCTTTATACCTTACTGAAGCTCCTGTGTAGAGTAGTATTATGACCGGCAAAACGAACCGGCAGACTGGAGAAAGAACGGAGTTCAATCATTTGCCGGCACACAAACCGGTTCCATGGTACCAACCGTACCAATCTGTACTGCCACAACATTGTTTACATTCTGGAAAACAGGTTTTGTTTAAATCTAGATTGTTGAACTTTTATAGCAAGGAATTTATCACAGGAGGTCGGAATGAGGTAACATGTTTATTTAGAAATAAATGCAAAATAAAGTCTAAACTCCAGCTCCGAACTTTTCATTCCAATCGTCATACATTGCCAAATCCTAAAATAAATACTTGAAAGATAAGAAACATTTCATAATTTAAAGAACTGTCCTTGAAAAATTGTCAACCCATTTTCTTGTAAATGAACCTTTTTAGCAATATTTTGTGTCTTTTCTATAGCTTAAAAGGTTATAAATATTGTCCATTTCCTCTGTTAAAAAAAGGTCCCTTTTTAGAAAAACAAAAATTAAAAATATTCAATCTTCAAAGAGATGATAGGTGGATATATAATGCTTTCTTTAAAAAAAGAACTAAGTAAACGTTAATCGGAAATGCCACTCTTTAAATTGAGAGTAACTTGAAATTATGTCTACACTCTACAGTCCTCTTAAGAATTAGAACCCAAACAAATATCAACCTATATTTGCAAAGGAATAGAGTCCTTGCAACAAACTCAAATTTACTAATCCTTCTATCTTAGCAACCTGATGTTGTAAAACTTTGTTTGTTTTTTCAAACTGAGATTGTTTGATAAACAGAATTCAAAGTTTGAAATATCTAAGCTCTACGATATTAGGTTGCAAAAATTAGAAGTCAGAGTTTGTTTGCTATTTATTTAATCGACTTAATAAATAGGCAAAAAATGCAAAAACAAATTAAAAAAAATTTACTAAATGTTTTTAATATGGCATCATCAGACTGCATTTAATGAATTTGTAAATGTAGGTTTTCTACGACAGGGTATCCTACTTCTAAATGTCACCACTAAGTTGAGAACAAATGTTGACGAGGGGGGACGGGGATAAATATTAATCTTAAACTCTGGATAGGTTACTAGGACAATACCTGATTGGAGACGGAAGCTTTAACCTGTTTCAAAGCCGCAACAAGATCGTCTTTGTTAATAGGACGAACCTAGGGTAAAAATGTTATGAACAACTATCGTAAAACATGATTAAAGAAGAAATTAATGAAGTATTCAATAATTAGGCATCTATACTATTTTCAGTTTGTCAATCATACCAAGACAAATCTTCTGTGATACCAAAGTTTTTTTGGGAAAAAAAGACTAAAGTAATTTGAGTAAAACGTAGCGTTGAACTTTGAATTTACATATGATGGGAAAAAATCAATATATGATTGTTGATTTAGGTTTCTTAATACCATTAAATCTCATTAATTTAAAACCGCTCATATGCAATAAATCTTTAATCTTGAAATAACAACTTGGGTAAATATAATACGAAACTATGTTGTAATCAATATATATATATTTAATCTTAAATATACAAATAAATATATCTTTAAATATAGAATAAATGCAGATTAAATGTGAAAATCTTTGTCTATGTACAATTTCTTGAGCAGGTTTGTTCCAAACTTGAGAAGACTGGTTTAGGATTAGACCCGAAGAACCCGGTTTCCCCAACTTGATCTTTGGTTGCAAACTTCTCCAGTTCTTCTCCAGGCACCTGCAACAACTGGAGGGAACGAACTCTGGGATCTGTGCACTTGAGGAGAGAAGATACATCTTCTGACAATGTTTGGTTTGCTCTTTGATACCATTCTGTTTCGGGGAGGGAGAGGTGGGGGCGGGGTTTGAAGGTTTACATAAGAAACCTCGGATACTACTGGTAAATTTAAGCTTTTAGAGAGGGTTCGCTTCTTTTTCAAACTTGGATAATCTTCGTAAATCTTGAACCCTGGGGATCTTGTGTTCCTCATGAAAACATGATTTGGAGCAATGAAAGACCTGGCTCCCTGTGTTCCAATCCTACCCTTGAGCACAGGAGTTATCTCCTTCAAAGGTATATTTCTCTCAAGATGCTCTGAGGGTCCAATCCACTCAAATTCTGTATTCTTGCAGGTCTGCACAGCTGACCGGCTAGGGAAGAACCTGGACAGGTTTCCAAACGAAAACCTGAAAAAGTTAAAATTTGATTCTCATTAAAATTAAAAACTAAAATGTGAAAAAAAAAATGTTTAGAGCATTTACCTGAATTTTGATAACTTCGGCTTGAAATGGATTTTCTCGTCATTGTTATTGCAGTTGACATAGTTGTGGGAAGAGCAACATCTATCCATGTTTTTAACACAACTGATGTAGTTGTGAGCGGAGCTGTTGCTGATATTGCTGCTGGAAACACAATGAATGTTGTCGCTACTCTTGGTCTTCCTATTTCCCCTACTGCTGATACTGTTGCTGTTCTTGCCCCAAGTACTATACTTGATCTTGTTCAGCTTTTTCTTGCTCTTGGTGGAGGGGGAACGCTTTAGGCTGCTTTTGGTGCTGATCTTCACATTGCCCTTGGTGCAGACTGTGAGCTTTACATTGTTCTTGGTGCCTTGCATATTGTTGCTTTTGGTGCAGCTGCACTGCTTATTTTTGCAAATGTGGTGATTTGGTTTATTATTTGGATACGAAACCATATTTGGTAAATCGGAGTTAAGTCTCACTTCTCAATGTATGTATACTGTATAGTTATAACAAGTGGAACCAGGTTTGTTTTACTCCGGGTATAGATGAGAACAGGAGAACTATGTTATTGAAACTGTAGACGGAGTAAATTTTCTTTATATTTATATAAACAAGATATGAAAAATCAATTTATTTCTATTAAAATGCAGGATTAACAAAGAAAAAAATTAAAGTTAAACAGAATTCGGGACTCCTATGTTTAAGAAGAAAAGAAAAAAGAAAAAGACACAGATTTAATATGAATTGATAGCTTACTGAGAATACCCTGCACGGCAATCATTTATATTTTCGTGGCTTTCAAGAATCAATAATCAGTATTTTTAAGTATTTTTGTAAAACTAGTTTTACTTATATTTTCTTCTGGATTATTTACTAAGAAGGAAATGTTTAAACAAAGGGGTTTTGATAGGGGGCCAGGCCAACAATGTTTATTTACCTGATGTGCCTCCATGTTTATTTACCTGATGTGCCTCCATGTTTATATGTTTACTTACCTGATGTGCCTCCATGTTTATATGTTCATTTACCTGATGTGCCTCCATGGTCTGAATGAAGGAGAAGTCCAGAGATCTGATCGGACCCATTGCTGCCTCACGGCATAGATTCGTCATATCAGCACCAGAATATCCCTCCGCCTTTGCGCTTATATCCTCAATATCCTCGTCACTAAATATGTTAAATTATATCTGCTTCGGAATATCCCTCCGCCTTTGCGCTTATATTCTCAATACCCTCGACACTGAATATATATTAAATATATCCATCCCAGAATATCCCTCCGCCTTGGCTCTTATATTCTCAATACCCTCGTCACTAAATATATTAAATTATATCCACCCCAGATTGTAATCTCAATATATCCTCATCACTTTACATACATATTTCAATATATTCGCCCCAAAATATCCCTCCGCTTGGGCGCTTTTATCTTTTAAGATAAACCGTAAAGTTTGGACGGAGGGAAAATCAAACAAAATTATGGTGAAGTAAATAAAGTAATAAGTACTAAGGATTTCCGGAAGCCTGAATAAGGAGGAAATTCACCTTAACTCATTCAACTCCTTTCCCAGGAGCCGGACAATAATCTCCTTCCTGGCCTCCTTCTCCGGCAAAGGGATCAGGAGTCTCTTGACCAACCTTCTCCTGGCAGCTTCATCCAACTCCTGCAGATTAATAGGAGGTTAATACAGGATACAGGATTAATAAAGGATACAGAATACAGGATTAATAAAGGATACAGATTACAGGATTAACTAAGAATACATAATACAGGATTAATAAAGGATACAAAATACAGGATTAATAAAGGATACAGAATACAGGATTAATAAAGGATACGGAATACAGGACTAATAAAGGATACAGAATACAGGATTAATAAAGGATACAGAATACAGGATTAATAAAGAATACGGAATACAGGATTAATAAAGGATACAGGATACAGGATTAATAAAGAATACAGAGAATACAGGATTAATAAAGAATACAGAATACAGGATTAATAAAGGATACAGAATACAGGACTAATAAAGGATACAGAATACAGGATTAATAAAGGATACAGAATACAGGATTAATAAAGAATACGGAATACAGGATTAATAAAGGATACAGGATACAGGATTAATAAAGGATACAGAATACAGGATTAATAAAGGATTCAGGATAGAGGATTAATAAAGGATACAGAATACAGAATTAATAAAGGATTCAGAATACAGGATTAACTAAGATTACATAATACAGGATTAATAAAGGATACAGAATACAGGATTAATAGACTAAAGTTTTCACCTGAGGACGGTTTGTAGCTCCGACAATAAGAATTTTCTCTTCTCCAACAGTATTTGCTCCGTCAAGCTGAACCAAGAACTCAGTTTTCATTCTTCTACTCGACTCATGTTCAGTATCCGACCTAATACAAGGATATATCAGTGTTTTATTCTAAAAATTTCCTCCATTCTTTCTGTAGCAGCAGAAATCTATAAGTCACTTGCGTAGAGAAAAGTACCACAATTGATAATAATCAACTTATATTACAAAACATGGATATTTCATTAATTCTTTATCATAGAAAACTCTAAAGGTATCGTTGTTAATCAGACTTGCCACTCATACATGGAGGGTCACTTGAAACTTACAAATACGCCTACATTCCATAAATTAATAATATACATTGTTCCTCTTCAATCCTATTTTTTTATCATTTTTAAAATTATATCAGGCGAAAAAAATGTATCTAAAAATAATTGATATTGACCTTGCACTGAGAAGAGAATCTATTTCATCAATAAATATCACGGAGGGCTGGTGAACCTATAATATAACAGTTTATTTGATAAATAGCTTTTACTTTTGGTTTTGGCTTTTAACAGAGAAAAAACAGTTTTAATGTTTTATGAAACTGAAACATTTGAAAGGAACACAAATTCTTTAAATTATAAAAACATAATTTGAAAACATTTTCCAGAAACAATATTAAGAAGCACAAAAAAAAACTACTTATTCCCAAAAGTTTAATAAAAGAACTGGCTCTGAATTATCAAGGCTATTTTGATTTTTTTTGCCACACAAAAGAATTTATCTTCCACATTAGCACTAATAGGGAGCACGACACACTTTATTTCCTTATATTACCTTCGCCACGGCAAAGAGTGCTCTGACCATCTTCTCCCCCTCCCCGACCCACTTGCTGGTGAGGCTGGAGGCGGAGATGGAGAAAAACGTGGACCCGCTCTGGCTCGCAATACATTTACCAATCAGGGTCTTCCCCGTCCCAGGGGGACCAAACAAGAGCAGACCCTTCGGAGGGCCTCTGCAATAATAATAAAACTTGAATAGTTTGAATAAGTTCAGACGATGATAAAATTGAAAAAGTATGAAATTTTATTAAAGTTAAACTTTACTTTAAATGCGTAGTTTTTCAGTGATTCACGAATGTTTACTGTTTAAGGTAAAATCTCAATATTAGGCGCATTTTGCATTTTTTTAAAAAATGATGAAGAAAATATTCTTTTTTGAAAAAATTTTGAACTCGTAACCATTAACCAACCCCTTTTCCCTCTTGTCTACTCACTTAAGTCCTGTGAAAATATCTGGTCTCAGCATGGGAAGAACAACTATCTCCTTCACTGTCTTCTTCTGGAACTCGAGGCCGGCAATGTCCTCCCAGGTGACGAGGCTCCCCGAGTCCATAATCTCGTTCTGAATCAACTCTATCATCTTTGGATCTATGTTCTTGTACCTGGTTAAAATGGTTAAAATCGATAAATGAGTCAATGAGCCAATCAATCAATCAATCAATCAATCAATCAATGCATTAATGAAGCAATACATCAATCATCAATCAATCAATCAACCAACCAATCAATCAATCGGTCTATCGGTCAAAATATCAATTGAATGAATAGACGAATTAATGAATTAATGAATTAGTGAATGAAGCAATGAATACATAAAAAATAGGAATGAATAAATTACTTTTAGCCTGTAAAGGATGAATGACAAGATAATCTGAATGAATTAATGAATAATTAAATCAGGGGTGAATATTAGCTGTGAGACTCATATTTTTGCCCCCCCCCCTTTCAGCATCATATTTTTCCCTAAATCACAAAACATGTGTATTTTACAGGTTTCTGGAGCCTCTTTTTCCGTCCCTTTTGCGGAAGTTTTGGACCTTTTCCCTTCCCTCTTACCCCTTCCCTATTTCCATTTTTTCCTTCCCTCTTCCCAATTTGTCCTTCCCTCTTCCCATTTTTTCCTTCCCTCCTCCCAGGGGGAACAGAAAAATATACACCCCTGAAATGAATAATTCCGAGTAAATAATATATTTAATCCATGTTCTATGTTGTATAATCTAACCTAGGATCAGTCTCCTCTGCTGGAGCTGGAGCCGAAACTACACCATCTACTGGAAACTCCTGGATAATTGGTTTAAAAGAACTTTACACGTAATTTCAGGAATTCTCCATTCAAAAAGTAACATGTCCGAATAACAAAGATTATTTATATTAATATTAGGTAAATAACTAGAAAGTAGAATAAAAAACTTGGATTAAAATAATGTACATCCTTGAAATCATCTCTGGATTGTTCAGCAGATTGACCCATCCAACATCTCAGAACAAAACCCTTCAGCTTATAACTTAAAATTTCCCTTTTATATTTAACATTATAACTTAGTTTTACAGGATCTTATATTTTGATTTTGGTTTCAACAGTTTCTTTTAGTTTTTCACATAATAAAATGTTTAAAAGATGTTAAGCACATCTTAATGATACCCCCCCCCCCTTCATCGTTCAAGGCTCAAGATGTTTAAATCATTAAAAAGTCCCGATGTTTTAAGGTTTAAAACTAAACCTGTTTTACAGGAGGTTTAAACCCTCCAACATGACCAGGTCTAGTTCCTAGGCACTTCTTCCCTCCACCATAGGACGCCTAAATTAAATTATTTATATATAACCAGCGGAAATACCCGGCGTTGACGTGGAACTTTGAAAAAATAAATTAAAATATTTTTAGCACATGTTACCCCCGGAATACTCAAGGGTTCCCTCAAAAATTTAGGCTATTCGGTCAGCTTTAGCTAACGTATATACAAACAAATATGTATATATATTTGAGCGAAGAGCTTTATCATATAGATTAGATTAATAGATCAATAGGTCTACAGATTCATATTTAACAAGTCCATACATCATTAGATCAATAGATTATTATAAAAAAGGTCAATGGGTCATAATATTAATTATAATAATAATAATACCCATTGAACCATCATTCCGTGGAAATCAAGGCCAATAGATCATTAGGTTCGCAGTTCAACGGTTAATAGGTACATAAGTTAATATATCAATAAGTTATTAGTACCATAGAATATAGATCAATCGATCAATGGGTCAATAAATCAAGGTCGATAGATCAGTAGATCTGTAGATTAATAAGTCAGTAGATCAATAGAATAATAGGTTTAGAGGTCAATAAACACATAGGTCCAAAAGATCACGAAAACAACAGGTCAATGGGTCAATAGGCCAATAGGGTAAGAGTGGGGGGGATATTTCTTATAGAACAAAATACACCTTTGCCCTTCGTGTTACCTGAGTTATCTCCCTTCCACCTCTCTGATTTTTAGTATTCTGATCAATGATCAATTGTTCATGAGCAGTCTTGAAGGCGGAGCGTACAGTCCCAACCTTCCCTGTGTTATTTCCTCCCCTTTGGTTTGAAGGATATTGGGGGGCAGGTTGAGCTTGTTGAGGAGTAAATACTCTTCCTTTTACTTTGTCCAGGAAACTAAAGAAAATAAATTCATCCAGAATCTGTTTTGAAAAATTAATTTATATATAAACTTTGCGTGTTTGTTTGTTTGTATCCAATAAACGTCAAAACGGCCGAACCAATCGGGCCCAAAAATATCCCCAGGGAAGATTCATGAATGATCAAAACTATAAAAATTAGCCTCCAACAAAATTTGAATGTCATCGAATTTTGAAAATCTATAACATTTTTCAATGAAATCCGCGAACTTACTTGTTTTTGTTTTACAATGTATACAAAGAGAAAATGTTCACACTGAAAAGGAAGATGGGTGCGAAGCGCCCTAAAAGCTTATTATTAATATTAAATTCTAAAATTAAAGATAAATTTCCTAAATTTTCTTCCTTGTCTTTACTCTTTCTATAAATAAATCCGCACTTCACCATGAATAGAGAACCACAATCTATATATAAATTTAGCTTGTCAGTCTGTTTGTTTGTATCCAAAAAACGTCAAAACGCCTGAACCGATCAGGCCCAAATTTTGTGTGGGAAGGTTTATGGCCAATCAGACTTTAAATATGTAATCTTAAAATATTTTTATCTTAAACTAAATAATTTTGTAAAATTTTGAAAATGGGCGAAAAATTATTATGAATACAAAGAGCAGATGCTCACAGATAAAGCCACAATTAAAAGTTAAAAAATATAAATGTTCAGATGGAATAACGAGAATACATCAATAATTTTAAAGGTTTAAGGTGTTAAGTTACAGGGTTACCCAACAATGATGAGACTTAAATGAAGACCTAAACATCTTTGAAAACAACGTTTTGATGGTTGAAATTAAATTAATGCTATAAATAGAGTCTAGAAATGGTAAATTGAATTGATGGTTTAGGAGGAAACAAGTTTACTGCTACAGGGAATCATGAGTCGTCTCTGAAGTCTCATACTTCTGGGGGTAACTCTGTACATTACCCCTGACATAGTTTATACCTGTTACTTGAACCAATATTTGGTTTAATAGGCTTAAAGATAGGATTACTAGTCCTGGATGAGGGAGGAGGAGGATTCCTGGAGGTGGAGGGAGGAGGGATAAAGGAGGGTTTACTCTCAACCTCATCTTCCTCAAACTCTTCAATCTCAAGATCAAAATCCGGGGAATCGGATTGATTACTCTGAGGGAAGGGGCTCTTGCTCTTGGATAATGAGACAGACTTATTCATTAATGTTGATGATGAAGGTATGTCACTGAAACTAGAGGCCGAGGTGAGCCTGGCAGAACTTTGAATCTTAGGAATTTTTCCTGAAAAAAAATCTTGCTTGAATAAAAGAGAGTTAAAAGAAAGGACCTTTTAATTTAAAGCGACTAAATGATTACTCCAAAAAAAACTTGTATTATACGATCTCAAGGTTTCCAGCATTCATAAGAGACCTCCAAATGGAATCAGTTAGACTACAACATATGTGGATAAGTGCTTTATACAGTAGTGTCTTGTAGTGCCTTACTTTTTTTTAATTTTGAAACTAAAAACTTATTTTTTTGACCTTTAAAACTAAATTTTTGTCCTTAAAATCCATCGTCTGAAAAAATCACTAAATTGTCCAAAAACTACTTCATTGTTCAGGAAAAAAAAAGAAAAGTATTTTAGTCCTGGTTAATCATTGTATTAAAATGATCTAACCTGGTTTATATTGAAGTGCTATCTCCAGTAATGGTTCAGCAGGTTCAGGTTTTCCCTGTTTACTCAGCAAATCCTTTAGAAAAATAAATATTATTTTCATTATTCAGGGGTGTCTCTCCCCCCCCCCTTCCCCCACCCACCATAAATCAAAGACCCAAAAGTAAGGGAGGGAAGGAAAAAGGGCAGGAGGGAGGAAAGGGAAAGGGGAAGGAAAAGGGAAAAAAGGGGAAGGAAAATGGAAAAGAAGAAAGGGGAAAAAAGGTAGGGGAGAAAATGTAAGGAAAAGGGGAAGGGAAGAAAGAAGTAAAGGAAGAGGGGAAGGGTAACAGCGGAAAAAAGGGAAGGGTGGGGAAGGGGGAAGGAAGGGAGGAAAGTGGATAATAGGAAAGGAGATAGGTAGGGAAAGAGATAGGTAGGGAAAGATATAGGTAGGGAAAGAGATAGGTAGGGAAAGAGATAGGTAGGGAAGAGGAAAATTAGGGACGGGAAAGGTTGGGAGGGAAAGGAAAAGATTGAGAAGGATATGGGAAGGTTGAGAGGGACAGAGATATATAGGGGAAAACGGAAGGGACAGAAAAGGAAAGTAGAAGGGGAAGGTAAGAGGAAGGTAGGATAAATAGGAAGGGGAACGAAGAGAAGGGGAAGGTAGAGAATTGATGGAAGGTTGGCAGATAAAGAAGTGAAAGAAGGTGAATATAGGAAAGGGAAGGGCTGAAGCTATTTAGCTCTACACAACCACATAACTTTATCTAAAATCAGAGTTTTTCATAAATAATTTTCTCCAATAGTTATAATGCAGTGTTAAAACTTTAATAATAATAATGATAAAAAGAATGTTCATCACTTAATAATTTTACCTTGAATACCTACTTCAAAATTTCACAAATTCTCTCCCCCAAGAAAAATGATGGGAAATGAATTCCAAGAAGCAATAAACTCCTGGACTGACAAATAATCAATCCCGACTATTTTTGCCTTTGCCACTATATCATTACCCAAAGTTAAACAAACTTTGCCTGCGGCGCCATTTTAGGGATTATGTATTTTAAGTTATTGTATTTGGGGAAAGAAATCAAAAAAAAAATTGAATTATATACACCCCTGTTACTATTATTATCAAAAAAAAGTAACAGAAGAAAAAGAAAATAAGTACAGTCATAACCAAAATAATGCGGAATGAAATAAGGCTTTAATTCAAAATGGATTTTTTTACTTTGAAAGTGGTATAACTCGGAAAATGAGCCTTAAACATTTTCACAGAAATAATAGTCATTAACAGTAAAAAAAATCTCTGGTTTGTATCATGTGCTTTTGCCAAAATTACAACATTGGTGGTTCCGACTTAGAAACCAATATTCAGTATAGACGTACTAATATCACAAATATCCACAAATTAATTTGTTTAACAATATTAAAATGCAGGTCTCTCATACAAATCTGTTGATATTTGCCTTGTTTGAAAAATAAAATAAAAGATAAAACAGGGAAATCAACATTAATAAATATAGAAAAAATGCTTGTAATTACAAGCAAATAAGTTTAACTAATTACTACGTACCTTGAACATGCTATGATCCGAGTTAATTTGGGATTTCCAGAGTTTGGCTCTATTAGGTCGGTTCCCAATCGGAGGTATACAGTACATGGAGTAGTTGTTTAGTACACTCTCACAATCAACTACAGTAAACAGGGGTTATACAGTACATGGAGTAATTGTTCAGGTATACCCTCACATTCAACTACAGTAAACAGGGGTTATACAGTATACATGGCGATTCCAAGATTAATTTAGGTTTTCTGCCTTTAATATAGCCTTTCAATAGCCTTTTTTATTGTTTTTCTTGTGCACTTAAAAAAACAAGCTTAAGTATGAGGAAACAAACCGTAAAGTCTCATCCTTTGTGGAGAACCCTGTAATTAAACATTAATAAACAACCTGCTGAAGCATATATCTGAACCAATATTAAACATTAATAAACAACCTGCTGAAGCATTTATCTGAACCAATAATAAACACTAATAAACAATCTGCTGAAGCATTTATCTGAACCAATATTAAACATTAATAAACAACCTGCTGATGCATTTATCTGAACCAATAATAAACACTAATAAACAACCTGCTGAAGCATTTATCTGAACCAATAATAAACATTAATAAACAACCTGCTGATGCATTTATCTGAACCAATAATAAACATTAATAAACAACCTGCTGAAGCATTTATCTGAACCAATAATAAACACTAATAAACAACCTGCTGATGCATTTATCTGAACCAATATTAAACATTAATAAACAACCTGCTGAAGCATTTATCTGAACCAATAATAAACACTAATAAACAATCTGCTGAAGCATTTATCTGAACCAATAATAAACATTAATTAACAACCTGCTGAAGCATTTATCTGAACCAATATTAAACATTAATAAAAAATCTGCTGAAGCATTTATCTGAACCAATATTAAACATTAATAAGCATTTATCTGAACCAATAATAAACACTAATAAACAACCTGCTGATGCATTTATCTGAACCAATTCTTTGATCTTCTGCTGCGACAGTAAAGGATCCCAACCTGGCGTTAACAATTCTTCAAATATCTTCATTTTAAGGACAATTCAGAATTCGGTGCTAGTCTTCCTGGTTTTGGGTTGGGTTGGTTATTTTGACTTCTGATTAAAGTGACTGTAAGAGTAATTGGAATTGATCCTCCATAAAGATTTGTCTAATCCAGTTTTAATTTGATATCCATGTTTTCTGCAAAAAGCTGATTATTTCATTTGTGGCGTCTCTTAAAAAGTAATTTGCTCATTATTTGCTTTTAAAACAATGTAGAAATTATATAAGTTTAAAAATTGTAAAGCTAATGAGGAAGTTTCCTTCACGTTATCATTGATCAGATTAAGCCTTAGAGTACCGATGTATATCGCTCATATACTTATACTTACAAGGGTCACTTGAAATTCCAACAATATTCTCTTCAATTTAAACAAATTTTCTTTAAAAAGTTTCTAATAGATGCAATTTTTACAGTCAAATAATGAATGTTAATGATGTTAGACGCAATTAGAACATGTATATTGTATAAGGGTGAAGCCAGGTTAGAAGAATTTCCTAATTCTCTGACGTTTTTCTCCAACTGACTAGAAATTCACAAACAAATAAAGAAAAAAATCAATTCAAAGAAATCATATAGCTAGCAAGTAAGAATAACCCCCAGATCTGGAACAAGTCAAGCAATATCAACCATTAAACTTAAATTTTATCTTATCTGGAGGAGGAAATAAATATTTGCAGAAACTTCAATTTATTATTTATTATTTTATATTTACATGATTGTAATTTTTCCCTGATCATTTTCCGATTTTCGTTAACCATCTCCCGATAGTTCTTCTCCTTCCTGTAAACAAGGAAAAAAACTTTTAAAAAAAGTTTCTAAAAACAATTAAAGATATTTGAATTTTCATTTTGGGCGAGGAGGCACCTTCTGTCAATGTTTTTTTTTGTCTGCTCTGCCACTTAAATCAGAAATTTTCCACTCTTACTTCTGATATGTTAGAATTTGGACATAACAATGACCCAAAATACCTTTACAAAATTCAAGAAAAGAAGGGCAAGGGTAAATAAAAGATAACAATACAATAACCACCTGAACTTTTCCGCTGAAAACCAAGTAGACTTGTAAACCTGTTCTGCATTATCCATCTTCTCTGAAATAAAATTTCCTTGAATTTTTTTTTAAGGTATCCATTATCCAAATTAAGATCTAAAATTTCAAGTTACGCATAAGTAAAACGGAATTCTAAACCTTTGTTAAAAACTTATAACAATATCACAATTGGTTGTCATTTAATTATATTTTTTAATAACAATTTCTAAAAAAATGGTTATTTACTCTGATCGTTTTTATGTTTATGTTGTTATGTTCATTTCACGCCAATTTATAAAATAATAATAAAAACGTTCTGAATTCTTCAACAATCCAATCACAAAGTTTATCAATTATCATAGATAGACATAAAAGACTCAAGGACGGTCAAACAAGAACAAACTTGTACTACGGAATTTCAATAAGTGTAATCAGGATCAGTGTTTAGGAAGCTGATATTCGAGATGCATGGACTGGTGCTAACACTGTTCCGTGAGGACAAAACAGATATCTGCGCTATGGACCAAGAGGCCCTCTGCAGATCAACCTACAAGTAACAAGGGAAGGAGATCTCGATATAAGAAGTATGGAACTACTCTTCCAATCTCTTCTACAGATTGAATAGACAGTATCGAGGATAACGGCTGTCAAGAATCCTACTCTTCAAACTTTGCCGTGCAGACTTGGTATCCAGGGTATAGGGTATCTGGGAACTAATGGAGTTTAACATGCAGATTATATTCTTGTTGTGGAAACTGAACAGACACAGATCAACCTCAGGATCAACAGCAATACCAGCAAGGAGCTGAATGAATCCTGTCTAGAGAAGTTGAAAGTATCCACCAAGTGTCAGACCTGGATAGATCAGAGTTCTCAAGTCGAAATTAAAGGTCTGCTGTTGGCAGACGGACACACGCAGTTACAGGGTGTCCCAATAAACATGGGAATTCAGTGACGAATTCGATATCGTCTTTATAAATAATTCTTTGATTTAGTATAGTGATACCTACTGAGAAAGCTCTAATCTGTAAGACTATCGTCTGCTTTGTTTACATTTTGTTAAATCAAACCAAAATCAAACCAAAATCAAACCAAAATCAAACCAAAATCAACAAATCAAATCAAAATCGAAATCAAATCAAAATCAAATCAAATCAAAATCAAACCAAAATTAAACCAAAATCAAACCAAATCAAACCAAAATCAAACCAAATCAAACCAAAATCAAACCAAAATCAAACCAAAATCAAATCAAAAATCAAACCAAAACCAAACCAAAATTAAAATCTTATCAAATTTAGACATGTGGAGATTTGCTTCTGCTTGCAAGTTTCATAACAAGGTTTTGAAAGGTTCAAGGATACGACTAAAGGAGGCAATGTATCTATGAAATTTATCAATATCTCAGCAAATAATGGTGTTAGCCGGTTCTACTTTTGCATGTATACTCGTCTGATGCTCTAGGAACAGGATATGAAGTCAAATCTTCAATATCTCCGTTCGGATACCGAAGATATGGGATAAGGTAACTCCGTCGGCTCCGATTTTTTATCTCCGGCACCTATGAACTTACAGAGCCCAAATTCAAAACAGTTACACCTAAGGACCTACATAATTTAATAAAATAATGAAAAAAATTTATTTTCAATTCTATCATGAGAAGACAGGGTGTCAAAAAACTGCATTTTTTATTTTCTTTTTAAATGCCTTTTTTGGGGACTTCCAATCAAAAATAACGAAAGAAAAAGGGTACTGAAAATGCATTTTATCCCCTACATCCCCTACAGGGTGTCCCAAAAATATTTTCCACTCATTTTTAAAATTCTATGAGTTTTACTGTCAATAATGGTGATAGCCAGTTCTACTTTTGCATGTATTCTAATCTGATATTCTAGGAACAGGATAAAAGGTCAAATCAGTAATATCTCCGTTCAAGAGGATAAGGAACCTCCGATGGCTCCGATTTTTCGACTTCGGCTACAATTGACTTACAGAGCCCAAATTCAACACACAAACACCTAAGGACCTAAATGATTTAGCAAAATATAGATTATATATATTCTGTCCTTGTGCCTAACTGTCTCTGTAAATAACTTTTTTCATTAAACAAATCAATCATTCATTTTATCAAACAATCAATCATTCATTTACTTCGTCATCCTATCTTTCTATCAGGCATTCATAGTAATAATAATAATAATGTATTCAAGTAGTAGTATGATGGTCTAAGAACAGGAAATGAAGTGATGTCTTTTGCGAAAACCGGACAGAAGAATAAGGTACAACTGAATCTTCATCTATATTTTCTTTTTTTATCTCGATTCTAAACAGAAATATCAAATCAAATCTAAAAAACAAATCTTTCAAATCAAGATTTCCGATGACAAAAAAGTTGTTTGCACTCAAAATGTACACACATTTACTAATATTGTACACTGCAGTACATTAATACACAAATGAAAAACAGGTTTTTTCAGTCTCTTTGTCCTCTTTAAGAAATCGAATGAAATTCATGCAAAAGAAAGTTTAAACGTCAAGACCATTTTAAAAAACATAAAGAACAATGTGTTGCCAGTTTTAATGTGAAGAATGTGACTTCACTATCAAATGGAAACCTTCTTTGACGCGTCATGGTAAGATAATTAATTCAATTCTCTTGAAACTAGAATTAAAAAAGACCAGGAAAAAACATATTAATAACAATACTTAGGTTTCGCGTATGGAATTGTATTTTAGGAAAATAAATACCTTTATTAATTTTAACTGTTTTAATAGTTGAAAGATGCCATGCAGACTCGGGGGTGGAAATAACTTCCGCGAAGCAGAGATGTTTAGCCAATGGTGAAGGTGGTGGTGCTGGCGGAGGTGGTTTAGGAGGTTTTTTTGAAAGAAGGATAAATCAACAAAATGCTAGATTGATTGATACTTGATTGATGGAATAAATGAATGATTGATAGAATTATTGATTGTTTGATAAAATAAATGGTTGATTAATTGAAGGAAAAAAGTTAATTATAGATATAGTTAGGTACAAGGACATAATATAAATTATTTATTTTTTATTCAATCATTTAGATCCTAATGTATTCGTGTTTTGAATTTGGGCTCTGTAAGTCAACTGGATCCAGAGTTGACAAATCGAAGCCACCGGAAGTACCTTATCCTCTGAACAGAGATATTACGGGTTTGAACTTTAATCCTGTTCCTAGAATATCAGACTAGTATACATGCAAAACCATAACCGGCTATCACCATTTTTGATAGTAAAACTTTAAAGAATTTAAAAATGAGTGGGAAATATTTTTGGGACACCCTTTTAAAAAAAATTATCTGTATCCTTTTTCTTTCGTTATTTTTTATATGAAGACCCCCAAAAAAGACATTTAAAAACAAAATGAAAAAATGCCGTATTTGACACCTTGTCTTTGCAAGAAAAAATCGAAATTTAAAGAAAATTATTATATTATATAGGTCCACTCCTTAGGTGTGTGTGTTGAATGCTCTGTGAGTTTATTAGGGCCGGAGATAAAAAATCGGAGCCGACGGAGGTACCTTAGTCCATATCTCCGGTCTCCGAACGGAGATATTAAAGATTTGACGTCATATCCTGTTCCCAGAGCATCAGATGAGTATACATTCAAAAGTAGAACTGGCTACCACCATTATTTACTCAAATATTGAAAAATGTCATAGATATTAGATTAGATAGATAGATATTAAAGCACCCATCCTTCATAGTTGCCAACTTTATTTAGGAGCTTAGGCGATTAATTGTTTGATTGTTTGATTGATAAACTGCTTGATTGATGGATTGGTGAATTGTTTGATTGGTTGATGTCTCTAACACTTACTTCAGCGCCAGTTCTTTCCTAATTCATAAATCAAAACTTGATTGATTGATTACATCATTGATTAAGTGGGGTTCAATTCATCAAAGGAATTATCCTGCCATTAATTGAAGCTCTGCACAGTGGGCATTCACCTGGATAAAAAACTCAAATCAAAATTAAATAAATAAAATATTTTAAATTAGTAAAGCTTAAAAAAGCTAAATAAAAAATAATTTATAAATAATTATATAAAAAAGATATTTTTTGTACCGTTTGTATGATACTTAATCGTTAAATATGGAATCCGAGGACTTACAAAACGTTTCCTCGTAAATGGTTTTCTCACAAAGCATTTCCCCAATAAAGCGTTTCCTCTACAGTTCTCTTGGCATAAAAATGTTTATAAAACGTTTTCTGCTACAGAACGTTTCCTGCACAAAATGTCTTCTCTCTTGGTATAAACTAATTCGTGCTTCAAACTGCTACACAAAATGTCTATATGCTTCTGTATAAATACTTTCATAAATCGTTTCAGTCTCATGTCTACTTGAAAAACTAATAAATTTAATGAAATGATAATATTTATTATAATAATATGTAATTATCAATTTTGAAATAATCTTTACTTTGAAATGATATCGAAAGGTTGAAGATTGCATTGAGTGTTGTAGCAGGAAAAGTTTTGTCGGAACACGCTTTGTGAGTGCTCCACAAAATATCTTTCAGAATAATTTAACAGATTTATATTTTTTTGGTCACTTGATCCGTTTCAGAACCAAAGATGAAAAAATTGGGTAAATGTGAAGAAAGTTTTTAAATCTCAACAAAACCACATCAAGTAAACGCATTACTTTACCAAGGAATTCACCAAGGGCCAAGACTAATTTTGTCTAGAAAACATCCAGTGCAAAGGGAGAAAATTTAATCATGGCAAAATTGGTTGGGAAAACCCGTAGTTAAGAAAAAAAAAATTTCCCGAAATTTTTTATTGCGCAATGAAAATCAACAAAAAAAGACAATTAAAAATAGACTAAAAAACAGAATAACGAAGAAGTAGATAAAAAGCACCTTAGCAATACAATATCGTTTATAAGACTAAAAAACAGAATAACGAAGAAGTAGATAAAAAGCACGGANCCCCCGAAGAAAACTATTTTGGTAATCTTTTGGACGAAAAGTTGGACATTAATTGGCAGCTATTTTTCTTAATTCAGATAAAAATAAATTGTGTAAGGTTTCTGGTTTTTTATCCCTGAGCAAGCAGCTGCTTCAAGCAGACAGGTCCAGCAGCCTAGGTGACCGCAAGGTGTAGCTGCTGACCCTCCTCAAGAAAGAAACTGTATAAATTCATCAATCGATCAATCATTTAGTCAATCTAAAACCAATCAAGAACCCAATCAATAAATCAATCGCGGCCCCTTTGGGACAGAAAAATGAAAGCCCCCCCGCCTCACTTAACACTTTCTACCCTAAACAAATCCTTCATCAAACAATAAAGCGATGCCAACCCTTTATAAAATCTCAGCTCCGCACAAATATTTCTAGCATGTGGCAAAGTCAAAAGAATTTTAATTAAAATACCTTTCACTCATTGTCCCATCTGAGACCAAGATAAATATCAAGAAATAGTTGAACTTCCTTGTCAAAAATGAACCAAATCTCTCGTGTTCCGGTTCAAGTCCAAGAGAAGTGGTTATATTTGGACCCTGTTTAATAAATTTACCTCTAAACCCAAGGGTTTCCAGGCATAAAGGACATCTATTAGATTCTGGTAATTGGTTCGTTGAACTTGATCTGTAACAAAGCATTAATTTAATATAACTTATTATTAACATTTTGTAAAAAGTAATTTTCAAAATTAAAGGATTCTCCGAACTTCGTGTAAGAAAAGAAATGGAAACGAATATTAACATTTGCAATTTAAAAAATTAAAGTTTCAGACTGAAAATAAAAAATAAAATTTGTCCTATAATTTGAGATAATTTTTCTATTTAACAGTATACAGTAATACAGTTATACAGTTATACAGTTACAGTTATACAGTCATACACTTATACAGTCATACAGTTATACAGTTATACAGTATACAGTATACAGTATACAGTATACAGTATACAGTATACAATATATACAATATACAGGGTGTAAATGAAAACCCCGCCCTCCCTTACAAATTATCCTGGTTGCGCCTAAAAGGAGGATGTATTTAACCCAGACAAAACAATACTGGACAGTATTAATATTACCTTAGATACGTAATATATGATTCATCTTTCTGTTCAGATCTTAGAATTTCTCCGTGCAAGGACATATTAAAAATTAAATGCAATTCTGAAAGAAAAAAAACAGTGGTTTCGGGTCTGTCAAATCCCTCTCCTCTCAATACCCTTTCTATATCAATTAAAAATTAAAAATAAAAAGTTTTTCTAACAAGATTAACAATATTTATTTTGTATTAATTTGGGTTTGGTTTGGTTATAAGCGCCAGGGCTAGATCAGGCTATTAAATATCAACTGGCAAGTAATTTTCTCCTTGATCCCTTTTTTCCCTGCAAAAAAATATCAACGTTCCACTTCAATAATTTTTTCTTCTATGGCGATTAAAAACAATCAGATTTTTTTTAATAAAAATGAAAAGTTTATAAAATAGTTTGGGGCTGATTTGTCAACAAATATTTGCATGGTTTAAATAGTGGTATGCAAACGTTTTTCAAGAAAAAACTGCAACCTGTATTGAGAACTGTTGTCCTCTGTTTGTTTTCCAATCTTAGCGTACTGCAAACCAAATACACGTCGGCGTACATCTTTGTATAATCCCTACAGTTAAATACAAGATTAATGTGTATTCAAGGGACTGTATTTGAATTTGAAAAGTGGCAAGGATTCACAATAGTAAACTTTAAACCTCTAATATATCTAAAAATTGACTTGCGGAAATATTTAGCACAGACAAAGATAAACATCATTAACATAATTCGAAACTTTTCACGACATATTCCTCTTTATTGCTCAGATGAACAAGTTGTGAGTAGTGTTTTTTACAGTGTAAGAAGGGCTGCCTCCCCCCCCCCCCTCCCACTACAATCTCTTTAATTAGAGTGGTCAATTGATCTTAAATTCACAGAATAACACCAAATAAGATTAAAGTGTAACTCAAATCTAAAATCTGCTTTTTCAGAGTTTTCATAATCATAATCTTTAATACCTGATAGAAAAATATGCATGTGTTGAGAGAATTGAGAAGAGAAATAAACTTTTTAATTGGATCCGTGCTCCCTGGCACCTTAATAATGATAACACTTGATCAAGGGAATTATATCAATTCATACATTTTTATCAATCCGTGAATTTGTCATTTTTAATCCTAACATGTCAAAATCGATTAATTTCGCTCATATTTCGCCTTTTTATCAAAATTAAACGAGAATAAAAAAAAATAGTTAGATATTGAAGAAAAAACCCAGAAATAAATAAATAAATAAATCTGACTTTAATTTAGACAGCATCAGAAATAATTGCTTATTCTAGCAGCAGCGCTGTACCTTTATACCTGGAGTTGGAGTAGAATATGGTCCAGTATATTAGGACCAAAGGATTTAGAGATAATGAAAAGAATTCTAGTAAGAGTTGAGGGATTAATCAACACAAGTCCTGTGTACTCCTCTCCTAAACTCTAAACAAATTCTTTTTTATATGCAGAGTTCAGTGATCACATAAAGTTCACACAAAAAAAAACAATTTAAGGCAGGGCCTACATGGGATTTTTTCAGCAACCTTTTTAAACTATCCAGGGACGGCTAGAAGCTTAAGCATCAATTGTAGACTTAAAACCCCCTGGATTCTGGAAGCTTGAATCAACGATTAAGGACTAAAATTGTTACTAGAAAAGGGGCGCAAAGCACTCTAAAAGCCTATCTATATTTATTTTGCTTGTCAGTTTGTTTGTTTAAAATAAACGTCAACACGACTGAAACGATTGGGGCAACAAAATTTGAGGTGAATCACATGACCCCATAGAAGGTTCCATTTTATGGCTGTCCGACATTTTTTTAACAAATGCCTAAAAGTGTCGATTTTGACCATTTTTGAAATCCACCAATTTAAACAGAAGAATCCGCGAATTTCTCAGTGCAGTTCGAAAATATACGTTGGCTAAAAAAGCAAAGCGGCCTAAAAGCCTAGTTTCTAATATTTTACTGACGTTTTCAAACCTTTTCAAAGTATACTATTAGAAACTGACTGACCTGGAAATCTCTAAGTGTGGTAGAGGTGTAGTAGATTAGTTTAGATAACGGTCCAATCCATTTATCCTAAATATTAACCAGGATTTTATACGATTTATCCTTCTATGAATATTATATAAGTTGGATACAGGAAGTACAGAAATGTTAATTCTAGTCATCAATTATATCTTTCTTAATTCATCTTGTGTAGACTGTCCCAGGGTCCCTGATTCTGACAAATTAAAAAAATTTAATTTTTGTCAAACCTTGTATTTCTGGCCACTTTTCTCAATTGTTGGTTTGATGCTTTTACCTAATTACTGTCTATACGGGTGTACCGAATAAGCCCAAATAGTTTTAGTGGGACCATGTGTAAGGGTTGGGTTGAACAAGTCAGGTTTAAAAGTTTCAACTAAAAAAAAGATAAGTAATTGAATTATCTAAAATTATTATAAATCGACATTCCGCAAACATTCAATCATTTTTAATTTAAAATCAGAATAAATTGAAAAATTGAAATGATAAAACTTGAAAGGTGGGCGTGAGGCAGAAAACATGTAACGTACCTTGTGTGCAAAATCCTGAGCCCCAAGTGTAGAAATAACAAGACTTGAAATAGAATTCCTAAACAGGAATTAACGTTAATGTGATACAGCTGACGTGTCAAAATAAAAATGCGCATTTTACAAATGTCCAAAAATCTAAAAAAATGGTTTCCATTAATCAGGAATTAAATTTCTTGGAAAAGCAACACTTTTTTAGGCATTTATTTAATGTTTTAATGTTTCAATTTGGGAGAGGAGTCAAATACTGGGGGAAATGGCTTTGTCCAGGAGAAAGATTCTAAATTCAAAGATTTTATTTTAAAAACTACAGATACCTTATTTTTACAAAATGAAAACCCCGCCCTCCCTTACAAATTATCATAGTTGCGCCTAAAAGGTGTAATATATTATAGGGGTAAAACTATTTTTTATAATTACCCCAAGGATTCTAGGGGCGGGGAGTAAGTAACCCCAATAACCCCCCTTATTTACGCCACTTTAGTGTTTCTTCTTTTAATTTTGAGGGGTTTCCGCATGTTTTTGAGGCGTTTCTGTTTTTTAAAAACTTTAGAAACTTTATTTTGTTGAGGTGTTTCCTCTATTTTTTTGAGGCTTCCGATTTAAAAAAAAACTTTTAAACTTCATTCAGTTGAGGTGTTTCCGTTTACTAAAAACCTTTTAAAGTTAATTTAGTTGAGGTGTCTCCTCTTTTTTTACAAGCCCGTACGAGAGCTTATAGTAGGGGGGACACCTTAATTTTTTGTGAGCACACACCTAGAAAGTTATGTGCAGGACCCTAGCTAAAACCCCCTATTTTTACAAAATTACTGATAAGTTTTTTATCTTTATTAAAGAACTGCATATCTTTTATAACCTACTAACCCGAAAACTTAAAAATACCAAAGTCTCTATATGTATTAATAGGTAGTTTTACGTATAAATACGTATGCTCAACTTTTGAGTAAGGAACTTATGTATATTCACGTACATTATTTATCATACCAACCAATTTTTTAAAAATGCTTTGTTTTTCCAGAACCGTGTTTATACGAAAAATTACGTATACTTTTTACCAAGTAATTTTTCTAAATTTTTAGGTTTTTATTTGACATATTTTTACGCCTTTTTTATAGGTTTTTTTACTTAAAAATTTGTATTTTTTCCGTAAATTTCATACCAATAAATTTTTCAAAGTTTTCAGGTTTTTATTTTACGTATTTTTAGGTTTTTTCTTTACTTAAAAAATTGTATTTTTTTAGAGTTTAATAGTTTGATGCAAACCTAAAAATACGTATATGTTTTCGTAAATTTCATACCAAGAAATGTTTCAACGTTTTAAAGGTTTTTATTTTGCGTATTTTTAAGTATTTTTAAGTTTTTTCTTTACTTAAAAATTTATTTTTTTAGAGTTTAAAAGTTTGATGCAAACTTAAAAATATGTATGTTTTCGTAAATTTTATAACAAGTAATATCTCAAAGTTTTAAAGTTTTTATTTTACGTCTTTTTACGTATTTTTTAGGTTTTTCTTTACTTAAAAATTTATTTTTTTAGAGTTTAAAAGTTTGATGCAAACTTAAAAATATGTATGTTTTCGTGAATTTCATACCAAGTTAGTGTCAATATATTCACGAAACCTTAACTGCAGAAAAATGCTTTTTTAAGTTAGAATTTGAAAATATGTTGTACTCTTTTTAAGAGAATTGTTCTCTAAGAAATTTAATGCAATGTTTCAAAATTGATATCATTTTTGAGTAAATTGATGTTTTCATTAGAATCAATGTCAGTTTGAGTAAATTGATGTTTTCATTAGAATCAATGTCAGTAAATTCTCGATTTTTTGATAAATAGAAGTTTTACTTTGACAGTCTTGTAANTAAATATTGATTAAATATTGATTAAATATTGATTAAATATTGATTAAATATTGATTAAATATTGATTAAATATTGATTAAATATTGATTAAATATTGATTAAATATTGATTAAATATTGATTAAATATTGATTAAATATTGATTAAATATTGATTAAATATTGATTAAATATTGATTAAATATTGATTAAATATTGATTAAATATTGATTAAATATTGATTAAATATTGATTAAATATTGATTAAATATTGATTAAATATTGATTAAATATTGATTAAATATTGATTAAATATTGATTAAATATTGATTAAATATTGATTAAATATTGATTAAATATTGATTAAATATTGATTAAATATTGATTAAATATTGATTAAATATTGATTAAATATTGATTAAATATTGATTAAATATTGATTAAATATTGATTAAATATTGATTAAATATTGATTAAATATTGATTAAATATTGATTAAATATTGATTAAATATTGATTAAATATTGATTAAATATTGATTAAATATTGATTAAATATTGATTAAATATTGATTAAATATTGATTAAATATTGATTAAATATTGATTAAATATTGATTAAATATTGATTAAATATTGATTAAATATTGATTAAATATTGATTAAATATTGATTAAATATTGATTAAATATTGATTAAATATTGATTAAATATTGATTAAATATTGATTAAATATTGATTAAATATTGATTAAATATTGATTAAATATTGATTAAATATTGATTAAATATTGATTAAATATTGATTAAATATTGATTAAATATTGATTAAATATTGATTAAATATTGATTACAATCAATTAAATATTAATTAAATATGTTGATAATTAGAATGCAATGATTAAAAAGTAAAATTTGTATTAGAAAAATGAGTGCAAAAAGCCTGGTGTAAAAATATTAAAGGGCAGTATACATTCGTACCATATATATATGAATGCTAATATTTAACAAAGGCTAAAGTTGGGTGTTTCATAATCAAATCTGTAAAATATTACAAAGCATTTGAAGAGCCCTCAACAGTCGACATATCTGCCTGAAATAAATAGATTTTAGCCTGATAGCCTGATAAAAAAGGGGAAATTTTTTTATTCTATAGTTCATTTTAATCAGAGTTTAAGAAGAAAGGGGGATAGTTCTTACTTAAAAATGATACTGAACCTTATTATTTCTTGAGCCAACGCCTGCAGAGTAAGAAGTAGAATATCTCACATACACTAAGTATACTCAATCCAACACAGAGTCCTACCGTTCCTCCAAACTGGGCTGAAATATGTACAGGGTTACACATAAAGAATGCGACTGTATAAAGACGATCGGACACTCTTAAAATGTGACCATGCCAAGGTTAAATTTTATTCTGCCTTAGGTATAGTAATCTAATATCCTATTTAATGATCTGGCAAATAAACAAACAAGTTTACAGTTGCAGGGAATTGTGAATATAAGGAAACAAGCCGTATAAATTCCGTACAATCATCTTATACCCTGTACATAACTAAAATACAAGGTGCAGACCATGTATCATAGTTCACTAAACTGTTTATTGATTGATATAATGATAAACATAAGGCATTGCTATTTATTCCTAACTAAAACTTTTTGTTATCTTTTGAAAGCATATTTTTTTAATACTTTTCATTAAATATTAGGGCAATTCTTTTCATTATTTACATCACTATAAAAAGAGTTTTAAGAAAGATGCATTTTAATCCAAATTTTATACCTACAATATCTTGCCATCCAAACAATTGATCTCTTTTGAATTTAGTCACTCCCATGTCGCTAAAAAACACATGTATGTAGGCAGTATACATGATTTTCTCCTTAAATGTCCTGCAAAAAAAAGATCTGTTGCAAAATTTAATTTACATAAATTGTCATAAAATATTCACCTGACAGCACAACCCCAATATTGTCCTGGAAACGTTTCGTATTTTCCAAACATTTCCTCTAGTTTAATTGCATATTCTGCCAGTGCATCAAACTCTTGTTTGAACCCAACTTCTTCACATACAGTCTGGTATAATTCCTTACAAACTGCTTTACGAACCAGGCCCTGAAGGATTTTTTATAAACACTTCTGACAATTTGAGTTTAGTAAATTAGTACTATACATTTCAGAATAACAGATTTTAAAACTTAGCTTTAAAAGGTTTGGGAAGAAGTTCATGGTTTTCATTCCAGACATTTTTATCAATACCAATTATTTTACTTAATCTTCAGTGATTACTTTTTACTACAACTCTTAAATTCAGGTTAGAAATTAAGATAGTTTTAACAGGGTTTCTGGAATAATGTATGAATTGTAGGTTTTCTAGTAACTTCCTTAAGGTTATTATTACAATAAATTTACCTAGGGTTATTATTACAATAAATTTCCCTGGGGTTATTAATACAATAAATTTACCTGAGGTTAGTACTACAATAAACTTCCCTAGGTTTATAACTACAATATATCTCCCATGAGTTATTACTACAATAAATTTCCTTGGGGTTATTACTACTTTAAATTTCCCAAGGGTTTTTACTACAATAAATTTCCCAAAATAAGACTGCAGTCCTTTAACTATCATATTGTGGAGACCATTAGATATGGTCTTCCAGTCTGGAAGCTCAACTAACCAAACCAAATATATATTTGATAGTACAGGGTGTCCCACGAAACATGACAGTATGCAGGACGACTTGAATGTCGTCTTGATTTTTTATATAATTTATGGTCTTACAGTTGAGAGTTCCATTAATCTCAATCATCTTACTGGTATTAGAGGATTGTTCCAGGCTCTCTGTAGGGACAAGTTTGGTAATTTAACCCACAAGGTTTCATACCAGGTATTAAACTCTTTGGCCTCATTCTAGGAGGATCTGGAATTCTGGCTTGGATGAGTTTATCTCTCAGATTAGGAGGTCTCTTATAGGTAACCATTGGTGGATTTTATAAAAAACCTCCTTCATCCAAGGATCCTGGACCATGGTTCTCCAATGTTTCTCTATGATAGAGGAGATACAAGCATGGGTACTGGAAAAGGGTAAGGTAGTCATACATTTCTAAGGATTCTAGCTTCTGTACCTTGCCTACGTCATAACTCGGTACAGGACACAGAGGACAGGGCACTGGTCCTAGAACTGTCTTGGGATAAGATCTGTTGTAGGGGAGTATATGCATAATTGTGAATGGCATTTCTTTGGCAGAGTGGGAATTCTCCACCAATAGTTTTAATCAGTGATGTCAGACACGTACAGATCTTCCCCTTACCATATCAACCTTTCATTCATGCGCGAGCCTTGTTGTGATACCCTATTCCAGTACCCATGGATGCAAGGCAGTTGGGGATTAAATGAGCTAGAAATTATAACTCAATCTGGTTTCTCCTTTTTCTTCACTTTCTATAAAGCAACTTCTTCAGAGCCCCCGATTTAAAAGCTTCGGCTCGAGTCTTAATTCCTTAAACGCAGCTTTAAGACCCAATCTTAGACCCAACTCTGATGACAGCTTGTGTCACGTGATTGACAGCTGCAAGATCTTAGGCTCGACTTAAGGAGTTAAGTCCTCACCTCTGTTGTTCCTCAAGAACAGGCTGAGTTCTGCCAAGTTCCTCATGAATACAGGAGCTTCTGTGTCTGTGTTCCCTGACCTACCCTGCTCACCTTCAGCTCCAGGTTCTTTTATCCAGGTGAAGGTTTATCAGATCTTCCAAGGACTTCCATGCTGTTTTGTGTATATGGATGACGTCCTTATGTTCAGCTCTGACCTTGGTTCTCATCTTGAACATGAGCTAAGGGTCTTTGATCTCCTCTGACAAATGTAGGTTTGCAACTCTTACAGTGAATTATCTCAGTATGAAAGTCTCAGGATCAGTTGTTCTCCTCTAGTTAAACACACAGAGATCATTTGCTGTCCTACAGACAAGAAAGGTCTTCATCGTTTCCTAGAAATTCTTAATTTCTACAGAAGATTTATGCAAGGTGCAGCCGGACTCTGAAGGGTAAACCTTCAGCTCTGACCTGGAACCTGGAGATGGACCAGTCCTTCGCAGTCGTCAAATCCATCCTGGCAAATGTTCATTCTGACCCTTCTGCCTGGATATCTTTGTCCATAGATGCCTCTGGTTCTCATGTTGGAGCAGTCTTGCATTAAGGAATATCCGGCTCCTAGGCCCCTCTGGCATTTTATTCAAATCCCATCCAGAACCCAGCAATGTTCCACAACATCCACCATCAACAACTCCAACAACACTGATTTCTGCACTCCACCCACCTTCTCCGCCAGCAGTTCCACGGTTATCTTTCTCCAAAATGTCCCTTCTGCAACAGTCCTGCTCCTATGTTCCTTGCTCCGGTTCCAATCTTCTCTGTGACACATCCACGGGTATCCTCTGCCCCCTGGTTCCGGAGAAGATGAGAAGGACAGTGTTCGAGTCAATTCACAATATTTCTCATCCAGGCAAGCGTGCTTGTAAAAGACTGATTTCAAGAAGTCTTGTTTGGGAAGGTTTCTCCAAAGATGTCAATTTATGGTCTCAGTCCTGTCAAGATTGCCAATGGAGCAAGATTCAAACCCGTATCAAGTCTCCCATCAAACAGATACTGGTTAATGTAGGACGAGATTCTCTCATATGCACGTAGATCTGATTGGTCCTCTTCCTCAATAATGTGTGGATATACATTTCTGTTTACCATTGATGATAGAACAAGTGTATGGCGGGAAGCAATTCCTCTCCAGTCTACAACAGCAGAAGAATGTGCCAAGGTTTTACTCTGATCCTGGATCCCAACCTAAGGAGTTCACCTCTGATCATGGAGCACAGTTCACAAGCTCTATCTGGATTAATCTCTGCAGGTTCCTAGGAATCATACGCGGATTTTTGGTGATGTCAATTTGGTAAGGTGACAATTTGGTAATGACAATTTGGTAAGCTCACAAAAGTGACAATTTGGTAATGACAAATTGGTAACAACAAAAAAGTGACAATTTGGTATTACAAATTTGGTAACGCCATAAAAGTGACAATTTGGTAAACGAAATAAAAGTGACATTATGTAAAATTGTTTAATTTTTAGTTTTATATTCAATTGAAGATAATTGATTCTAGGAATCTTTTNACGTTAGTTTCAGCCAGTTACCAGAACTGTAAAATCAAGAATTTGCCGCCAAGAGAAGAAGGTGAAACGTCTGGCTATCCCACTGTCATCTCAAAGTGTCTCTGAGAGCTCGATTGTCTGAAACAGACTGGTTCAATCATCTACCCCTGGTGTTACTTGGTCTCTAGAGTATTTCCAGAGAAGATTCTGCTATCTCCGCCTCCAAAGCTGTTTTTGGTTCTTTGCTGGTTCTGCCATGAGATTTTCTGGATAGTCCGGAGCTGCCCTTGTAAGAGTATCTTCGGAGAATCCAATCAATCCTAAAGAACAATACCACAGTTCTTTCTAATCATTCTGCAGTTCCAGCCCTGAAACCAGACCAGATTCCTTCCAGTTTAGCCTTTCATGTTTTCATCAGAACAACAGCTTCTCTGCTGTACAGAGGACCCAACCTACCTTTCCTTGTTCAAATAGGTTCCAAGTCTGACTCCGTTTCCATGGACCGGCTTAAACCTGTTTTCTCTTATCAACCTGTAATCTCTCAACAACCTCCGCAAGGTGGAAGACCTCTGTTAAGTCCAGCTCAATTGACTCCATCTCCATTGACTCTGGCTCTGTTGTCTACAGCTCTGTTGAATCCAACTTCTCCAACACCTCTTCAGAGAGCCAAGGGAATGAAGAAGCATCAGCAGTACTCCTCTTCTAGTTCGCCAGGACCCTCACAGAGCAGTTGGAAATAAGCATAGAGTTCCTTATCAAGTTCAACACCTTAATGCTGTGGAGACCCGTAGATATCATCTTCCACTCCGGAAGCTCAACTAACCAAACCAAATATATTTGATGGTACCTTAAACCCATGTTATAACTTAGACTTCAATATATTGTTTATTTTTATATAGTTTATTGTTTATTGTTTATTTTGGTCCTTTATTTGTCGCATACAATATAGAAAATTTCTAATCTTTAAAAATATAGCAGGGAAACCTTTCACACCGTTTTTAAATTTTATTTTGTATAGATAAGTTAATAGTTACTAGTTTCTAGTTACTAATTACTAGTTACTTGTTACTAGTTAGTAGTTACTAGTAACTTATCTATACAAAATAAAATTTAAAAAAGGTGTGAACGGTTTTCCTGGTATATTTTAAAACTAGTAACAAGTATCTAGTAACAAGGAAATAGTAACTTATATAGTAACTAATAACTAGTAACTAGTTACTAGTAACTAGTTACTAGTTACTAGTTATTAGTTACTAGTTACTCAAAAAAATAAAAATTTTAAATTCTAACATCGTTGAAATCTATTAAAAATCCTTGTGACAAGTCCTGAAATAAAATGATTAAACATTTTTAATTAATCCATCCAATGTTGATCCTAACAGTACTGGTATCTGTTGTTGGTTGTCAGATTCTAAAGATTGATCAAAGATTAATCTGTCTTGACGGGCAGAAAGGCAATTAACCAGACCCGCCAACTTCTTTTTTATGCAGAATGTAAGGTTTCCAACTAAGGGCGATATTTATTGTTATTTACAAGCTAAATTTTGTTTGTGCAGTTTAAAACTGAAAGATAAAAGTCCAAACTCAGAGTCTAAATTCATAAAAAAAAATTACATAAACGACTGGTTAATCCGCTCACTCAAAATGTAGTGCAAGGAAAGCAAACATTTCCGCTTCCTTCCGCAAAAAATTGAGAAAATATTCATTTGTTCATGTTTTTTTTTCAGTTGTTCAGAAAGAAATATGATTAAATGATTTTCAGAATTATAGTTCATTTTTCATCTATTTTGTTCGTTTTCAAACTGAACAATCATTCAATTAAATCTTTTGTTTAGTAAGATCGTTCGTTCAGTAAAATTGTTTGTTCAATAAATTTGGATCATAAAAAAAGTACTGTTAATTAAGGAATGATGCATCATTTCTTTTATTTTTTGTTCCTATGATTTTAGGAAGTCCCAATCTTTTTAATAGAAATGTCAAAAATAATGTAATGCATTGTAAAATGTATGTTACATTAGTAGGAAACGTTAGGATCTATTCTATATAACGTGAACGTTCAACTTTAACGTTATAGGAGCTTATACCTAACATTGACATTAAATGTTAATGTTTAAGGAACATATACCTAACGTAACATTATTTTTCCAATATTTGCAACATTTTTGACCATAACGTACAGAAATGTTTTGTTTTAATGGGAAGCTTGAAAGTCTAAAGAAAAATCAACTGTAATTTGATAGCACATCGTAACGATTGGGTTTCTATTTTTTTAAAAGTTTGGAAACATGATCCTTAATATTATAATGAAAAGCTCAACGTTTCAGAAATAAATAATCCGGAAACATAGGTCTTTTATACAGAGTATAAATTTCAATAGTGTAACATATAACATTTTAAAAATGTAATTTTGTAAATCAAAACGTTTCGTATTTTTTCTCTAATTACTAAATTGATTAGTCTAACATTTGATATATGTCTGATAAAAATGTTGTTCATAAAACGTAAGGTAATGAGGGCTGAGTTTTAATTTCAAAAGTGTAACAATAATGATGCCAATCAAAACGTTTTAAAAGGTCTCTCATTTATAGTAAGAGATGACTGATGAATATGACAGAAAAGACTAATAGTTTTTCATTTTAAGTTTAAAGGAATTGAGTTTATGCCACAAGCTCTAATTTTCTATTACTATATCTTTCAACCCAATATCATAGACCTTTGATATTAAAATATCAGCGTTTTCCTAGCTTGTAAATGTAAGCTGGACATGTGTCTCTAGTCTAGGGTTTCCCGCAAAAAAAGGAAAATCGTTTCATGAAAATTTCGCATTTTTGCAAAAAAATATGTTCTTATTTTTTCGCATTTTGTTTACTCGCAAAATTTTGCTTCAACCTGTTTCGCAAAAAAGATAATGTGAAAATTTCCCGAAAAAAATAATGCGTAAATTTTGAGAATACAAAACGCATATTCAGCGAAAAAATTAGTTTTGCGAAATTTCATTACGTATTTTTTGCTTCATTCATTTTCGCGAAATAAATGCGAAATACGCTAGAAAATTTTGCATTCTTTCGCGAAAAGTTTCGTTCGCTAGAAACCCTACTCTAGTCCCTTTCTATAAGACGCGCCACTTGAGTTGAAAGTTGCTAAATTTAAAAATTTTCAAAACCATTTTATAATAATATTAATCAACATTTTTATATTTTTGCATCCTTTTACAAATTCTATAAAATGGTTAACAAACACAACAGCAACATACAAGGTGAAAAAAGGGATTAACAACACTAATTATTTGTATGGTTTATGTTTAAGGATGAACATTTTTTTTGCGCACGTGCCCCCCTACATAAATGCTCTTGTACACCCCTGTTCAAGTGAAGAAAATTCATTACGCAACGTTGGTCTATGCTATTAGATTTCATAATGTGCAACGTAACATTTCAAACGTTTTATACTTTTGATGAATACTATCGTAACAAAAGCTTAGATTGGAAAAAAGCAAAACGTTGACATCTCTACTATGCAGGGCGGCAAAATTATTGCAAAAAAATGTATTTACGTGTAAATACCGACCTTAGAGTAGACAACTTGATTACAATCATCTGGACAATTACAATGCAACCCTTGATCTGTTTCCTCAGTTCCAGGAGTAGCGAATGCATTCAAATAACCTGAATGCAGAATTAAAAGAATGGATAAAACATGACAGTATAACAAATTGAAGGATGCCTTGCGTCATTAAGTTGTAAAAACCTAATTTTAGAAGTTAAATTCTAGAATTTATAATCACAAAATACCCCTGGTTTTGGCATTTCCCAAATGTGGGTCTGCCTTATTGGTCCTTTCAATATTAGAGGGAGTGACACTGAAAGCAATTATCTAAAATGTCAAAAATAGGAATTTCACAAATGCCTGGGTATCTGGGATATTTCCCAAATACCTACAGATATTTGAGTGTGGTATATTTTTAAGATTTTGGAAATTTCTCAAATGACTGGAAATTTCTAAGATACCCAGGCATTTGGGGAATTCCCCAAATATCTCGGAAATTTCCCAAATGCCTGGGTATTCGGGAAATTTTCCAATTTCCTGGGTATTTGGGAAATTTCCCAAATGCCTGGGTATCTGGGAAATTTCCCAAATGCCTAGGTTTTCGGGAAATTCCCCAAATATCCAGTCATTTGAGAAATTTCCAAAATCTTAAAAATATACCACCTTCAAATACCTATAGGAATTTGGGAAATTTCCCAAAAGCCTGAGTATCTGGGAAATTTCCCAAATGCCTGGGTATCTGGGAAATTTCCCAAATATCTACCGATATTTAAGGGTGGTACATTTTCAAGATTTTGGAAATTTCTCAAATGACTGGAAAGTTTCAAGATACCCAGGCAATTGGGGAATTTCCCAAATACCCAGACATTTGGATAATTTCCCAAATGCCTAGGTTTTTGGGAAACTTCTCAAATATCCAGTCATTTGAGAAATTTCCAAAAACTTAAAAACATACCACCCTCAAATACCTACAGGAATTTTGGGAATTTCCCAAATGCCTGGGTATCTGGGAAATTTCCCATATGCCTATTTAAAAACAAATGTAAATGCTGTCGTGTCATGCAATATTACTGGAGATTTATTTTTATGTTTTATTTTGAATAAAATTGAAATCTGAACGAACTTCTTAATATCTCCTGTAATATTTACAGCACAAAAGAGGCAGACCACATTTTGGAAGTCACAGGATAATGAGAATATTATGATTATTGTTTCAATAAAAAAGTTGGTTGACGACTGTCAGACTTTATGTCCCAAATAAATTCAAAGTTCACAGATGACTTTCAAGTTCGCTTGCTACTGTCATTTTTCATGGGACACCATGTATATAACATTTAGTAGGCAGGCAAGTGCATTGTATGGGGGTGGGGTACTGAGGGGCTGAATAGCTACCTAATATAACAAACAGGGGTGTTATAGGGGGATGGTGCACAGAGTGCTCATCCTCCCCAACCCCTATGCCCAAAGGGGGTATCTTAGATTATTACTTTTATTCGAGTAATTGTCTCAAAATCAGGATATACAGGGTGTCCCACGAAACATGACAATAGGAAGACGACTTGAAAGTCGTCTTTGATATTTGAATTTATGTGTGACATTTAGTCTTCTATCTACTTTAACATGTATGATTCTTGAAACAATTATCACATAATTCTCCTAGCCCTGAAGTGTATTCTACAATGATGTGCAATTCTAATTTGATATCTGTACTAATAATATTACTATCTTAATCATTTGTATATTGACCCAGCCGGGCTAGCCCGGTCAGTTTTCATTTTTACCTGTTTATAAATAAAGGAGTTGAATATCATTCGTTGATTAGAACGGACGTACACAGAGCCTTGAGTGTTGGCTAGAGATAGAGAGCCTTAAGTTTTGGCTAGAGATTTAGTTAAATATGATCTCATTAGACTTTGAGTAAAGTAATCGTTAGAGAATTAGCGTCTAGATTCGTTACAGCCCTGGCATTTCAAAAAGTGGTCTGCGTTTTTTGTGCTTTCAATATTACCGGAGATATAAAGAATTTGGTTCAGATTTCAATTTTGTTAAATAAAAGCAAAATTGTCGAAATCTAAACGAAATTGTTCATATCTCGGGCAATATATTGAAAGCACAAAAAATGCAGACCACATTTTGGAAATGGCAGGACTAGGGGAATTTTGTGATTATTATCTCTAGAAATTTACTTCTAAAATTAGGTTGACAAATAAACGCAGAAAATTATATCAAAAATCAAGACGACATTCAAGGCCTCTTGCCTACTGTCATGTTTCGTGGGACACCCTGTATTTCAAAACACAACATGAGATAAATGTGTTAACTGTTTCAAAATAGGGATATGAATCAAGGCCTTCTATGCAATTAGGAACCAATGTCAGAATCTCAAGTTTTAAAAATCTAAAATGTGATCAAAGGAGTTATAATTTGTCTCTTGTAAATGATATCTGAGAAGACTAAAACAAACACTGTACAAATTAAGTTCTTATTTAATACAGCTTACTAGACTTGATTTAAAGGCTTGCATCTTGAGCTGCATGATAGCTAAACCTTGACCCATGGAGGTAAAAACCTCCATTCCCCAGAATAAAATAGCATTAATAGATTAATCCACCCATCCATCTCATGTTAATTAGCTTGTTTTGATGTAGGGCCAGCTAACAAAATTTACCAGGGGAGGAGAAATATAAGTATATAGTGTATAATGATAATAAGTCAAAGAAGATTGCTCAGTTAAATTAGGGTTTCCACGAAACAGTCAATTCTCTTGCGCAACAGTTGCATGGTTTTGCACGAAATGACTTTTTTGTACGAAATTCCGCATTCATTCAAAATAAATAAATTTTTTTTCATGAAATTTTGCATGAATACGAAATTTAAGTCAGTTTTTTTATGAGATTGCACATGAATACAGGTCATTTTTGCATGTAATTTTGCAATGCCCATGAATTCAAAAAATTAAATTTTTGTACAGCAGTATTGTGCATGAAAACAAAATTAAGAAATATTTGTTGCATGCCATATATAGTGGAGGAATATGAAAGATTTTAATATTTGGACAGTATGGTGTGAATTAAAAACAATCTCATCTAACCCTGCTAGTCTCAAAGTTCAGACTGGATCTTGATGATTAGTGAATGTGCAATTGTGATTAATAAATTTGTGATTTACTCAGTTACTACTTGAGATTGATATACAGTGTATGTTGATAATAAGTCAAAGAAGATTTTCCAATCTAAAATTCGTTGATGGTGATGGACCAAACCTAGCTGTAGAGTAAAAAGAAGTAGAAGTTAGTTCCACATTTATTGAAAATATATTTCGGTCTGGGTTGACCCTCGTCATTCTAACGATATAATAACCATCAAGATCGATAAGAAAAAAAATTTTAAAAATGGTTACAAACCACAAGAAAATAAACAAAGAGAAAAGATTTTTTAAAAAAAAATTTGGGGTTGTCAAATCGACAGAAGGGAAACGAACTCAGATTATGAGATGAAAAAAGATAATTTGCAAATATTCACTTTTTGAAAAAATGTTTTAAGACAATTACTATTAGTTGTGGGGGTCGAGCTAATTAACGAAATTTTACGTAAATCTGGGGGAGGGGGGCGGCGGTTTGTTTAAAGAGGGGTATTTAAACCTTTTTTCAAATATTGCTTGGTTAAAATAAAGTAAAAATGGGGTGGGGTGGGGTGAGGTGGTGAGTGTATGACACCAGTTCTCGTTAGCTCACTGAAGTTAAGAACACTTGTCCACAGCCAGTAACTGGATTGGTGTCCAGACTGGTGTTCACAGGTTCGATTCCCGTACTCCTCACAAACCTGCGGTTTCAAAAACATCTGAAGCCGACATCTGGTTAAGCAGTTATGACCACCTAACGGATGTAGGAGGACAGAGGGGCGACTGTCAACAACTCTCGCAGCGAAAGGGTGCGTCCTTTCTACTCAACAAGAAAAAAACTAATGGATTGATCCAAGTGAATGATGATGAAGAGAGGAAAGGTGGACAAGAAGGGAGAGTCTATGGTTGCCATCTATAGGTACCTGGAGGTATCCAATCCGGGCTTACAAATGATTGGGAGCAATGAGTGTGATGTTTCCTGTCTGTACATGGCACCCGAGCCTCATTCCAGTATATCGGAAGAATTCCTTCACTCTACTATTCTCAGGCCTATTAAGCCCTTAGGCAGCTGGAATCTTGTCAACCCTATGAATGAAGCGTCGATGGATGAATGTGCTGCCATATTACAACCCCTATTAGATCAATATAAACCCAAACAATACCAAACTTTTGCAATGGAAAAAAATTCCAAGATTTGATCGTAACAACCTTATCATGTTCTGGGGACAAAAATAAATTCTTACCTCGATTTTCACTGAGGCATTTAAGATTATCCCAAAAGCAAAAGCCTGTACTATTAGTATAATTGCTCAGCTTTATATGTTTTTCTATAAATGATTTAGGAAAATCTGGATAGAAGTAGGGTACACATCCACATAACTGTAGCATTGCACCAACAGTACACTCCAGTAAACAGTTAGCCTTAAAATAAAATTTTTTAAGTTATTCAAAATCAAATAAAAATTTATTTAGCTAAAAAAGGAGATGTAAATTTAAAAGCTTTCTATTTGGCTTTCTAAAAACAATAAAAATAATCAAGCATTTAACTGGCTCAGTAACATCTCGCCATATAACATTTCGCCATGTAACAAATCGCCATATAGCAACTTGCCTAAGTAACAACTCGCCTAAGTATCATTTCGACATATAACAATTCGCTTATAAATAAATTTTTTAATTAAATTGTAGTGTAAATAAAATTATACCAGAAAATCCACAAATTAAAAACCAAAAATCTGCAAATACAGTAATTCAAACAGTGTTCGGAGTACTAGACACACATCCACAATTCAGTGGGGGAAACCATCTTTTGTTGACATAAACAACTTCTCCTACACTATATTTAAATCCTACTTTTATATGAGCTTAACAATGTTTCATGATTTTATATGATTACATATATTTCCTACTAAACTACTACTTTCTACTAAATAAAATTTATTACTTTGTTTTTTTGTTTTTATATGGCAAGTTGTTAAATGGAGAAATGTTACTTAGGCAAGTTGTTATATGGCAAAATGTTTTATGTTGAGATGTTAATGATCCATTAAACTCACAGATTGAGAAAAAATGCCACTTAAAAAAATAAATTAGTTGAATTATTGCATTTACTTTATTGTATTCTGTAAATGCTTCAAGATTAACATTCATTTCTAGAACTTGAGTTTCCTCTGGGAATAAACAGTTCCTTCTTGATGGAGACATTGTCTTTACACTGTCCGACCTATGTATATAATGACCCTAGTAAATGAATTTAAAAATTAATGTATATTGACTAAGAAATATTAAAAAATTTGATTTTGAACATTTTGAAACATAATAATATTATTTGAAAATTTTACTTTAAAACAAATCTATATATAAATTTGGCTTGTCTGTCTGTTTGTATCCAATAAACGTCAAAACGGCTGAACCGATCGGGCCCAAATTTTTTGTGGGACATCTAGGGACCCCAGGGAAGGTTTATGAACGATTGAAATTTTAAATATTTGTCTCCATCAAAATTCGATCGTCATTAAATTTTTAAAAATTTTGAAAATCCGCGAAATTTTTTGTGAAAATCCGCGAATTATTTTTGTTTTGTTTTACGATGTACACAAAGAGAACATGTTCACAGTTAATTTAGAAGAGGGGCGCAAAGCGCCCTCTAAGGCTAGTACATTTAAAAGTTACTAGACTAAGCAAGTATTAAACGAAAATTAACTTAGTAATTTACTATGAATGAACTCAATTCTAAATTGTTGACAAAAATGTTCAACTGGGATTCAAGATTTTTCAAAAGCTCTGATTTTTGACAGGAAATTATTATTTCAAGTTTTTTTTACAAAATAATATTTTGAAAGGGGTCACATGTTTCTGAGATCAGTGTCCAAAATTTCATGAATTTAAGCCATTTCTCAAATCCCCAAAAATCCATTTCAATTGAGCGCCATCTTAAATTTTGAAAAATTAAATACAATTTTAAGTGGAACCAACCATATTTGAGCCGCAGCTTAAATTTAAGTTGTGGCTCAAATTCTTAAAATCTTTAAAACTCTTAAACAGTTACTAGTAAACCCTGAAATTCTTTTGGCGGAAGACTTAATTTTTGGCAGTAAATATAATTTTTCTTGATAACACCCATTCAGAAGGTTGTTATATTTTTTAAAAGGTTGAATAGAACCACTTATTGATCTCACTTCCAATGTTGACACAATACTTACGTTTCTGTAATTTGTGCTGAGACGCCAATGAAATACTCAGAGCCATATTCAATATTCATACTTTTCTTACTCACATCTGGAAATTCATGAGGAGAGTGTATCAGAACCTAATCAGAAACCCTGATTTTTTCAGTGATGGTCAATTTGGGATGCAACATAAATTAAAAATGTTGTATAACCTTATATCTACAGAGCTAGAAAATTTGTGGTGAACTTGGCCCTTTTACAAAATCATAATAGTTTGGAAATTTTCATCCTACTTCTCTTCATTAATTTATATTCTGTGAAACCATAAAATGTATGAAAAAGTTGTTGCTTTGTTTAAGAATATTTTTAAGAATAAAATATTCTTTTTGTCATAAATATTGTAACATTTAATCCTTTGATATCGTTACTATCCCAGACATAAATCCTAGGGAAATCAAGATCAATCCTTGTCCCTCATCTTTGAATGTTAATACAAGACTTCACTTTCATTCCCAGTACCAATTCATAATTTACCCAAACCTCTCATCTTGTGTATAATATCTATCTCTAAATGTCTTGAATAAGTGGGTTTATGAATCTGCATTTTATTGGTACAAATATATCTGTTAATATCTATTTATATTAAATCATATTCCATATATCTGTAGAGTCCCTCAGCGGTAAGACAAGTCTCCACTAACTCTTATATAGGAAGAGTCTCTCAGCAGTAAAGCAAGTCTCCACTAACTCTTATATAGGAAGAGTCTCTCAGAGGTAAAGCAAGTCTCTACTAACTCTTATATAGGAAGAGTCTCTCAGCGGTAAAGCAAGTCCCAACTAACTCCTATATAGGAAGAGTCTCTCAGCAGTAATGCAAGTCTCCACTAACTCCTACATAGGAAGAGTCCCTCAGCGGTAAAGCAAGTCTCTACTAACTCTTATATAGGAAGAGTCTCTCAGCAGTAAAGCAAGTCTCCACTAACTCCTACATAGGAAGAGTCCCTCAGTAGTTCATCTGAGCCTCTGTTCCCTGCTGGGCTATATGTGGTCTCAGCTAATCCTTCTATAGATAATATAACTGGTGATCTCCTGATCAATCCTAGCTATCTATCAATCTGCTACAGACCTATGATCTTCTCCTGTGATACTTGTAACTGGTGATTTATGATCATCCTAGTTCTCTGTCAATCTAAGCTGATCCTTCTATAGATAATAAAACTGGTGATCTCCTGATCAATCCTAGCTATCTATCAATCTGCTACAGACCTATGATCTTCTCCTGTGATACTTGTAACTGGTGATTCATGATCATCCTAGTTCTCTGTCAATCTGCTGTAGATCTATGATCTCATACTTGCAGTTCTCCTGTGATTCATATAGCTGGTGATCTTTGTGATCCATCCTAGCTCTCTATCAATCTGCTCAGGATCTCTAGTCTCCACAGTATCTGCAACTTACACAGTATCTGCAGTATCTTCCATGTCTGCAGTGTCCACAATATCTGCAGTATCCTCAATATCCGCAGTATCCACAGTATCTACAATATCTGCAGTACCCACATTATCTGTAGTCTGCTCTGCATCTCTGTTGATCTACAGTTTGCTCTATATCTCCGTGATCTGTAGTCTGCTCTGCATCTCTACAGTATGCTCTATATCTCAGTGATATGTAGGATGCTCTGCATCTCGGTTGATCTCCCATCTACTTGATATCTCCTTAATCTGAAGAATGCTCTGCATCTCGGTTGATCTCCCATCTACTTGATATCTCCTTGATCTGTAGGATGCTCCACATCTCGGTTGATCTCCCATCTAATTGATATCTCCTTTCACCTGGATTCATTGGCCTGTATTATCTTCTGAGTCCCCAGTGTTTCTAACCATAGAAACACCTGGAATATTAGAGGGTGTAGGGAGTTGGACCAGCTGTATAGAGGTGGAACTACAGTGCTCTGATTCTATTGTCTGTTCTATAGTTCCAGCAATCCTCGGAGTCTCTAGTGTTTCTAACCATAGAAACACCTGGGATATTAGAGTGTGTAGGTAGTTGAACCAGCTGTATAGAGGTGGAACTACATTTCTCTGATTCCATTGTCTGCTCTATAGTACCAGCGATCCTCGGGGTCTCCAGTATTTCTAACCATAGAAACACCTGGATTGTTGGAGCGTGTAGGTAGTTGAACCAGCTGTATTGAGGTGGAACTACATCTCTCTGATTCTCTTGTCTGTTCTATAGTTCTAGTGATCCTCTGGGTCTCCAGTGTTTCTAACCATAGAAACACCTGGAATATTAGATGGTGTAGAAAGTTAAACTAGCTGTGTTGAGGTGGAACTGGAACCACATCTCTCTGATCTATGGTATTCCTCGGATCTGTTGTATTCCTCTAATCTGTTGTATCCCTCTAATCTGTTGTATTCCTCTAATCTGTTGTATCCCTCTAATCTGTTGTATTCCTCTAATCTGTTGTATCCCTCTAATCTGTTGTATTCCTCTAATCTGTTGTATTCATCTGATCTGTTGTATTCCTCTAATCTGTTGTATTTCTCTAATCTGTTGTATTCATCTGATCTGTTGTATTCCTCTAATCTGTTGCATTCCTCTGATCTGTTGTATTCCTCTAATCTGTTGTATCCCTCTAATCCTAATCTGTTGTATTCCTCTAATCTGTTGTATTCCTCTAATCTGTTGTATTCCTCTAATCTGTTGTATTCCTCTAATCTGTTGTATTCCTCTAATCTGTTGTCTAATCTGTTGTATTCCTCTAATCTGTTGTATTCCTCTAATCTGTTGTATTCCTCTAATCTGTTGTATTCCTCTAATCTGTTGTAGTCTCCTGAAATATAATGATGAACATTTTAAAGGCTTACATTTAAATGTTTCAAAACAAATGTCTACATTCGAGCTAATCCTTAGTAAAAACTAAAACTTCCCTTTTAAACGAAAAACAAAAACTATAATCATTCCACAGTTTTTGTTATTGCTTATCATAATGTATGTAGTAAATAGCCTACTCCATAAATGCTCTCAAACCCATATCTATCCAGGTACAATTCGTCAGCTATCAATGTCAAAACAGACATAAGCTCTTAATCGATCAATGCCAAACCAATGGACACAATCTCAACTCATATGTTTCAAGAAGGACCAGCAATCAATGTCAACAAGGACACAAACTCTTAATCTATTAATGCCAAACTACTGGGCACGATCTCGTAAGCTATCAATCAGAAGCTCGTAAATGTCAATGTCAAACTATCAAAACAGGGAATGATTACTCTCTTGCAGTAAACAGTATGGAGTCTCTATTTCAACTAATGTATTTGAGGTTTATATGTTACATGTTAAAGACATAATTACAATTCCTAAGTTGTTATCTGTTTAAGACAATCATGTTACGTATTACAGCACAGTGAAAATAGGCGCAATTAAAATGTACATCATAATATTTATCACATGATTAAGCTAATCATGCTACGTAATCATTTTAAGTGCAGTTCTAATGAATAATGGGTTTTTCGTAGAAGTTTACAAACGTAGATAATTAATAATGTACAACATAGTTCAGGTTTATAAAATATTATGTTAGCTAATATTTTTTACAAATGGAGGGGGGGGGTAAGAGAGTGGTGGAAAGTAGGGTTATGTATCCCTTATTTTCGACTTACTTCTATACTTTCAGTAGCTCTACATCTTCATATATTCCATTCTTGGTTTCTGTTGTAACTTGAGCACATTACTTCTGGAGTACACTGTTGTAGACCTCCTTTGGAACCTGATGACAGACCTCTCTTGATTTACTGTAACATTTCAATCTAGGTACCAATTTAGAAATCTGTCCTGTAACATCACAGCAGGATACATGGTGTACAGGGCCGTATACAGGTACATCGACAGATTTGCATTCTTGTACAGAAACAGTATACCCTCTGAGAACCTCATGTCACTCTTCTCTTGGCCCATCAGGCCATCATGTCCTTATTGTCAAGGCTTGTCAAAAGACTTTTTCTTTGAAACATTCTGGCACATCATCTTAGGAATATTCTGGTATACTTGAGTAGTTTCATCCCAACCTTCTCCTTTGGAACCTGTTCACAGGGCTGTCTAGGTTCATCCCAACCTTTTTCTTTGTGTACCTCCTTGCATTGCACAGAGATCCCTTCATCACCATGTAAACTATTGCAGATAGAATTGTTTACCAGGTTGCATTCTCTAACCTTCTCTTGTTCAGGAACCTGTCTATATTTCTGGACATTTTCAACCTTGCACTGGTGATCAGTCCCAATGTCACACTGCTTCTAATGGACTTCTTAACAGACTTCTGCATGCTATTGCACTCCTTCTTGGGGTTATCATAGGACTTGCACCTTAACACCGCCTGACACAGTTTGCCATTCATGATCTCTAACTGGTTCTCCTTTATAATGTTGCAGTCCTGTTCCTGTGTCTTGGAATACTCCTTCTTGTATCCCATCCTATAATCCTTCTCATCTTTGATGGTATACTTTTCACTATAGTTGGTGTTACACTGCTGTCCGTATGGAGTCTGGCACTTCTACTTCGGAACATATTGGCACTTTTGTTCTAGAATGAGGGAGGTTTTAAGAACAGTGTTGCACTCTTGTTTATACTAATTATGACACTTCTGTTCTTGCCGTACATTTTCTTTATGTCTACCTCTTGACTCCCTACATTGTGCTTCAAGTGTCTTTTCTTGCATTTAACTCTCTCACCAGATTTATGTCTGGCTCCAGGTCTATCTTTGAGTCTGGGTCCCTCCTTACTGACTGTTTGGCCCTCACTGCATTCTGTGGTTCAGAGAATATGCTGTGCTCTTCTTCTGTCTCAGCTATCTTGTTAATATTTTTATTCATTCTGCTTTCACATTTTTTAATTACCCAGAAAAGGATTTACTTCTTCACCGTCTGCATTGTCATGGACCAGTAGATGGTGGCTGCTTTCCTTCCAGATTGGGGCATTCTCCAAACTCAAAACCACCAGAAGAACCATGATAACAACATTAGAATGTGTGACATCATTGCAGAAACTATCTCGCTCCTTCTAGTTCTACATGTTTTCTGTAACTTGCTTGATTCTTGTCTTAAACTGACTGCTATTAATCTGTCGTCTTTCTTGCTGGCTGGCACTATATATATGCACTCTCTCTTTCTCTTGGTTCCATCCTGCTCTCTATCCATCTTTGTCCCATACCGGTATCATCATCATCTCTTGTCTCTGTTTTCTCGTAATTGATCCCTGCTGTATCTTGTCCTCATCTTGTCTAAAACTTCCATTCAAACCAAATAGGTATTTTTCTTGCTTGCCTATAAGCTGCTCCAGGCTTTTTTCAGCATTTTTTCTGCTGTTTCATTGATTTTTCTTCACTTCCATCTATGGGTCCTTGTCCAGGTTTGGTTTTGTTTGATTTGATTCATTTCCATTGATCTTTTTCCCTATCTTCAATTTGAACTTTTTAAATTTTCCTTTTGTTTACTTCCTTGGTTCTGCAATTTCCCTTTTTTATCCTGTTTTCTCTGTATCTCTTGATCTTGATTTATTTTTTCCAATCTTATTTCCGCTCTATGTATTTGTTTTTCTTTGTTTTTATCTTCTAGGTATTTGATTCTCTGTGTTTATACTCAGCATATTTACTGTCATGTAATGCTCTTACTCTTGATGTTTCTCTTGATCTTGATGCTTATCTTGATTTAATATATCGCTTTTAGCCATCTTGAAGCTTTCACAAATAAATTCCTTCTTACTTTCCTCTGTGGGATAATTCGTAGAATTTGTTAATGTTTTATTTACATCCTTATTTACATCCTTGTATATGGCTTGTTTACTGCCTGATAACTTATAATTTTTCTCCTGACATACTAGCTCTTGACCTGATTATTGTTCTTCCGGTAGCATGATTTTTCCAAAGCTCTTGTCTTCCGGTTTTCTTTCTCAGACTTCTGGTATATGACTCACTTCTTGTTCTGAATAAGACTTTGGCACTCCTTGTTGTATCACTCTAGCACCATTCTGACACTTTCTCCAGGTTTCTACTCACCAGTTTCCCACTATATTTGTATTTTGGAGCACTTTCTACAAAACACAGTATTCTCTCATCAAGACTATAGCCTCATATTTGCTTAGCTGTTTGCTAGCACCGTAGGTTATTTAATTCTCCCCACTGCAATTGTTTTATTTAGAGAATCCATGTATTGTGTTTCCATGTTTATCTCCTTATTCTGCTCCAACATTGCTTTCACTCTTTGTATTCTATCTTACAATCTCTGGTTCAGGTTTTCTATTAACTCTGCTACTTTGATTTCTGCTTCCCATTCTCATTTTTTGTGTTGAATTTTTCCACCTGTTTATCTGGTTTTCTTCATGTCTGATACTCCGGTGCCTGATTCTTCACTGGGTACTATAGGGTAGAATTTGATTTGTTTAAACCAGGTATCAATGCCAAACCACTGGGCACGATCCTCAACCTGTTTATCAAAATGGTTACTCTCTCGCAGTAAAAAGTATGGAGTGCCTATATCAACTAATGTATTTGAGGTTTAGATGTTACATGTTAAAGTTAATAGGCGCAATTACTATTCCTACATGGTCATGTTATGTATTTACAACACAGTTAAAATAGGCGCAATAAAGATGTACATCATTATATGTATCACATGATTAAGCTAATCATGCTACGTATTCATTTGAAGTGCAGTTCAAATGAATAATGGGTTAAGTTTACAAAAGTAGATAGTTAATAATGTACAACGTAGTTCAGTTTTACATAATATTGTGTTACCCGATATTTATTACATGTACAGTTTGTAGTAACATGTATCTACTACTTTAAATTTCGTTAATTTTCTTTGTTTGCAATGTGCATGGTTAGATTTCTAAAAATTTGTAATTAACATTTTTTCTAGGCAAAAATTTAAAATTTTGATCCGTAATACCATAGAAACCATCTTGTTAAACTTTACCTTTGAGTACACTATTTGATTACAATCATCTGGACAGTTACAATTCAATCCATTGGTCCCTTCACTAGGGCTGGGCATGTTCCTGGTGGAACGATTGTTCTTTCCCCAGAACGAACGAACCGATCAAGAACGATCCCATCGTTCCGAAAAAAAAACGAACGCTCAGAACGCGTTCTTAAAAATTTTGGAACGATTAGTAAAAGAACGGAACGGAACGGAACGGGAATTGCTTGAAAAGAACTGTTAAAGTCGTTAACGGGTTTTTATTTTCAAGAACGCGTTCTAAGTTGGGAACGCACTTTAAATCAGGAATGTGTTTCATCTTTTTGATATTATTGAAATATTGATTATGAAAATTATATATTTTTCAAAAATCTACAAATTGTACACCCCCCTTTTTTAAGGGAACCCAGTTTTAGTAATCGTTCTATACTAAGAAAGGAATGGGGGGATGGAAACGTTCTTTGATTAAGAACGGAACGAGAGGGATGGAACCGTTCTTTAAATAAAAATGCCAAGAATGGAACGGAACGGGAAGACCGTTTTTCTACTCAGAACGGAATGGAACGGGAGGGAACAGAAAATAATGGAACGATACAAAAAAAAGGAACGAGAACGGAACGATTTAGCTGAAGGCCCTCGTTCTAGAACGGAACGGAACAATTTCAAAAAAGTCGGAAATTGCCCAGCCCTACCCTTCACTACCAGAAGTTGCATATGAATTAAGATAACCTAGATTTATTAACATGTTAATGCAGCTTAACTAGCGTTTAGTAAAAGAAAAACCAAAATTGTCTAATCCCTATAATATATCTTCGCAAACTAAAAATGTAAAAATTTCTTTTGACTGGTTGTATGCAAATAATTTGCAAAAATTTCTTTGCAAAACTTAAAATGAAACTGAAAGTGGGTCAAAACAAAGATTTAGTTTGAAACAGGAAAAAGTAATCAATCAGGCAGTGTGTCTGAGTACTTTTTTTAGTCTTAGACCTAAAGGGAGGTGACTACGGGAATTTAGGAAAAGTCAGAAAATTTCAAGAGCCTCAGATCAATAGGTTTTTTAGTTCTGTAAAAAACTACAGGGGGTCAAATTGACCCCCCCCCAGCAGGAATAGGGTTAAAACTATGCTCATCATTACATTTGTTTTTACTTTTGGAGCATAAGTTTTTGTAAAGATTAATTCACAAGTGCAAATAAAAAAAATCATACGGTGAAACCCTTAATAAGGAATACATCGGAAGAATTTATCAAATGTCGTCTTGACATTTTTTCAATGAGTTTTATACTATTTTACGTAAATTTCAGTATTTGCGAAAATAAATGAATAGCCATGAATAGGCGGGAATAGTTTTAAAGAGTTCCATATAATCATTTAATTAAAAAACTAAATATCTGCAACATTCCATTATCAGAAAGTGAAGAATACGACATTTTATGAATTCTTTCGATGTATTCGTTATTAAGGGTTTCACTGTAATATGTTCCATTTGTAAAAATCTTAAGGTCTATTTACACTGTTCATCTATAACAGAAGAAAAAAATAGCTACATTTTCAAAACTTTAACTTAAAGACTTTCAGGTAAGGTTTCAAATTCTTAATATTACTTATTATTATCATATTATTTGTTCAAAAGAAATGCCTGAGTACAATATTAAAATAAATTAGATCATTATCAATTAGAAAATTTTTCTAATAATTCTTAAAAATTCTTACCTCGATTGTCAGTGTCACTGAGGCATTTGAGATTATCCAAAAAGCAAAAGCTTGTACTATTAGTATAGTTGCTCAGCTTTATATGTTTTTCTATAAATGATTTAGGAAAATCTGGATAGAAGTAGGGTACACATCCACATAACTGTAGCATTGCGGCGACAGAACACTCCAGTAAACAGTTGGCCTAAGAAAAAAATAATTAAGAAGTTGTTGTTTTTACAACAAAGAAATTCTTTTAAATGGCAACATACATTTAGTAGTAAATCTACATTGTGAAATATAATATACATTGATAACCAGTAATTCTGGAATAGGAAGTAGACTATAGACTCAAATTATGACTTTAAATATTTTATTGAGCAGAGATACCGCAATTGTGCAGTAGCAGCAGATTTGTTTCACATAATACAGGGGACATTAGTTTCAAAACTAACACTTGGCCCATTTCTAGAAATGGGCACAAATTGAAAGACTGGGTTTTTAGGATCCCGGCCTTTATTGAGAGTAAAAGTTGATGTTAAAAACTATAACCAACATTTTATTAAGCATGATGTGGACAACAATTCCCAATTAAACACTATCTTCTGGAATCAAAATTATAAAAAGAGTTTATTTATATTAAAACCCCGGACCTTTTTCAAGACAATGTCAGGTTTTCCATTTTCGAACATATCCTGAATTTAAATCACTGTCGCGTTTTCGAGACAAAACCCACTTTCCCGTTTTTGAAATCATCAAAAACTAATGCTCATACTTTATTATTAGTTTAAAGTTGACATTTCTTGTTTCAATAATTAGTTTAGCCTTTTTTGAGAAATATATGGTGTTGTTTTGTTTTACTCGGCTTGGATTTAAAGATATATACTCTTGAAATAGATAACTTTGCAGATTCGGCCCATTTCTAACACTCAGTGTTAAAAATTGGCCAAGGGTTAGTTTTGGAACTAATGTCTCCTGTAATAAATGATTTCATAGCGTACTAGTTAATTTGTTTGCTTGTAACAGTATCAAATACATTTCCGAATTGATTAAATGTTGTCTTTCTATTCTATTTTTTTTTGGTTATTACTGTATGAAAGCTGAATTTTTTCTAACATTTACCAAGTAGATTTGTTTGAAGTATGATGATTTATTGCAATCAAGCATTAATCAAGAAATAGATTTTAAAAGCCTTGTTATTTTAAAAGAAGAAATGAGTTTAAATGATGCATTTACCTTATTGTATGTTTTAAATGCTTCAAGATTAACATTCATTTCTGGAACTTGAGTTTCCTCTGGGAATAAACAGTTCCTTCTTGATGGAGACATTGTCTTTACACTGTCCGACCTGTGTATATAATGGTATCAAAATTCAGGTTTATCAGCTCTAAAATGAATGCCGATTATATATTTTTTGTTTACTTTTCCTCTTTTTAATTTTAATAAAAAGCATTTTACTGAACAACAAGTTGCTTTTTCAACTGTGAAGCTTTATAAGTTTTTTTATAGCTTATTGATCCCACTCAAACCTAAAACTAGGTACAAACTAGGTACTAGCTAGGTACAAACTAGATACAAACTAGGTACAAACTAGGTACTTACGATTCTGTAATTTGTCCTGAAACCTTGATGAATGTTTCAGTTGCTAGGTGAGTTGCCATACTTTTCTTACTCACGGCTGGAAATTCATGAGGAGAGTGAATTAATATCTAGTAAAAATGCAAAGTAAATGAATTTGTTAGGGTTTCCAGTCGTAATTACGTTACACGTAATTACGCGTAACACTTTCTTTCACTTATGGAGGAGCATTACGCGAAATAACGTGCCAATTATGTATACGAAAGAAAGTCTAGTTTTGCGTAATTAATGCGTATTTACGCGAAATTACGTAATATGAAACCATTCCGTAATTAGCAAATTACATATTAATTCTCAGAAATGAATATAGCGGGAAAATATTTGTAAGGATATGTGCGATACAACCATACAATGTCCAATCTAATTGGATAATTTAAATACTTTAAAATTGAATTAAAATACATTTATGGTGATGGACCAAACCTCTGTAGAGAAAAAAAGTAGATGTTAGTTAATTCCACATTTTATTGAAAAATGAAAATATATTTCGGTCTAGGTTTGACCCTTGTCAGTTCTAACGATATAATAACCATCAAAATCGATGTTGAAAACCACAAGAAAATAAACAAACAGAAAAGATTATTTAAAAAAATTTAAATGGGCTGTCAAATGGACAAAAGGGAAACGAACTCAGATCATGAGATGGAAAAAAGATAATTTGCAAATATTCACTTTTTAAAAAATGTTTTAAGACAATTATTATTACTTGAGATATACGTAGATCAGGGGGGCTTGTCTAAGGAGGGTTATTTAAACCTTTTAAAGAATTGAAAATAAGAAATACTCCTTTTTTCTTAAAAATACTGAATTAAAGTTTACAATTAAATAAAAAATATTTTTTCTGTTCATTCTTGTGAGATCAGTCATAAAACCTCTGATGTATTTTGATTCTCGTACTTAAAGTAAACTTTTCACAAGGTCCCAAACCTTCTCTAGAACGCTAACTTTTAGATGGTAGAGTGATGGTATGTGTGATTATTACAAAATTTCGCGAAATAACATTGTAGAAATTTCGCGAAATTGAAGTTTCAACAATTACGCCAAATCCTGCAAAATTAAACGAAATGAAAATTATTTCGCTTAACTGCACGTAATTTCGCGTAAGTAAATAATCTATTACATTGGAAACCCTAAAATTTGTTAATTGTTTTCTAGCTTAAACTTAAAATATACATTTCAATCCTGTTTCTTTTTCATGCAAAGAATTTAATTTAATAATTTAGTTTAAAATTCAAATACTAGATACTTGATACTGTAAAGACGACCGGAAGCTCAAAAAATACAATTTTTTATCAAAGTGGGTAGTTTTTATTTTAATGATATATACTTTGTAGAAAAAAAACTCATCGGGAGCGGTTTAACGTGTGGTTGAGATCTAGCCTAGACTCTAGGCACTCTACAACAAGAAATGCACCTTTTTTCTCAAATCTAAAATCTGTTTAACAACTAAAATCTTACCTTTTTCGTTAATATTTTTATCCACTTTTTAAACTTTTTTATAAGTTCAACCGCTGAGAAAAAAAATATTTTTTTGTTTTTAACCGCTGGGTTTAAGATTTTTAACAACTTTTTGCTTTCAGCCACTGAGAAATGATTTTTCTTGAAAAATGTTTTTGCTTTCAACTGCTGGGTTTAAGATTTTAAATATTTTTTTTGCCTTTAATTGCTGATTTTTCTTTCATTTTCTGGGTTTAAGATTTTCAACAACATTTTGCTTTCAACCACTGAAAAATAATTTTTCTTAAAACAGTTTTTGCTTTCAACCGCTGTTTTTAATATTTTTTAGCAACTTTTTTTCTTTCAACCACTGGTTTAAGATTTTCAAAAACTTGTTTTGCTTTCAACCACTGGTTTAAGATTAGTCAGCAACTCTTTTGCTTTCAACCGCTGGGGTGTTAAGATTTTTTAGCAACTTTTTTGATTTCAACCACTGGTTTAAGATTTTCAAAAACTTGTTTTGCTTTCAACCGCTGGTTTAAGATTAGTCAGTAACTCTTTTGCTTTCAACCACTGGGGTGTTAAGATTTTTTAGCAACTTTTTTGATTTCAACCGCTGGGTTTAAGATTTTTCAGCAACTTTTTTGATTTCAACCGCTGAGTTCAGGGGCATAAATAAGGATTCTTTAGAGGGGGGGAAATTTTTTTTTATGAGACTTTTTTAACAGCTTACAAAATAACAAATCCACCTATATGAAACGCTATGATAAGCTACCTGGGCCCTGGCAACTTGGCTGCATTGTTTTGAAAAATATTCATCATAAAGAAGATCAAGGACTTGAAATAGGAGTGGATGCAAATGCTTTCTGGTAGGTTCTACATCAATAACTACCATGGTCCATGCCAATTATAATTCATATTTCCAGAAAAAATATTAAAGACTGCTTTTGGAGCCAGTGTTTCTCATGAAATTTGTCCAAGTCAAAATTCAATCACCCAGCGGGAAGAGCTTTATACCTACTTTGACATATAGTGCAAGTAGGCTACTGCATAAAAAATCGATTATTTGGTTAAATAAATCTATGTAACTTTTATTTTTGACATTTTTCCTCTTAATAATAATCATGGACATAGAGAATGGAGATCAAGTTTCTAACCGGGGATGTTTGTGTCCCAAAGATTCTAGGGGGGGGGGGGTAAGTAACCCCAATAACCCCCCTTATTTAGGCCACTGCACTGGCTGGGTTTATGATTTTTCAGGAACTTTTTTATCTTAACTGCTGGGTTGATTATAAACACTGGAAAACAGTTCTTCATGAAAAATGTTTCAACCACTGGGTTCCACATTTAAAAAAACTTTTAGGTAACACTTTTTTCTTTCAACCCCTGGAATCCTTTTTTGACATATTATAATTGTTTTATAGTTTAAAATTTCAATAAGAATTTTTTCTTTTCTATCTTCTAAGAATAAGAATGTAACATCAAGTTTGGCAAGAAAAAACGAAAAAATGTATCCGTAAACTAAAAGATTCCTTCTCGATTAATTTACAAATGTATGTACATGCTGCTATTGTAAAATAATTTTCTGTAAAATCTATATAAACATTTTTGTAATCTTAATATAATCTCAATACGGAGATAGTAAATACCTAGATCTTCAAAATAAATAATTTTTTTACAACATATTTTCCTTCAATTGATGGTTCAACTCTTTTTATGATACTTTTTCTTCTTTCAACTACTAGGTTTAATATTTTTTTTTAAATTTACAATTTTAAATTGACTTTGGTAATTGAAGAAACATGCAAAGAATCATTTGTTTCAATATTCTTCCTTTATGTCCACTCTAATTCACTTTATTAAACTGTCTTGCATCATCTGTATATACATCCCATCCTAGCTTATTCACTTTATTAAACTGTCTTGCATCATCTGTATATACATCCCATCCATGGTTATTCACTTTATTAAACTGTCTTGCATCATCTGTATATCCCTTCCATNTAGCTCTAAAATTAAGAAAAATGCATGCGGCATTCCTCCCCTCCCCCCCAAAAAAATGGGGTTTCCATTTTTTTCTTGATCAATTTTGGCCTTATGAAACCTTCTCTGAAGTTGTTAAGAATGATAAACCATTAAAACCTTATGGCAATTTTCGGCTGATCCTAATTGAGAGTAAATGAAGCTCATGGGGCCGGCTGAAAAAAAGTTTATGGGACGATTATTCCTGGTCAATTCCTTATGGAATAATCGTCCCATAAACTTTTTTCAAAATAACAAACTAAGCTCCTTGTATTATCTAATAGGTAGATCTATTTGAAAATCAGTTCTCAGATTAGCTTCAAAAAATTTCAAAGGTATGCCATTCATAACATCTTGAGAAAAGATTCCGTAAGACCTTTACAATAATAGGATCACAACAGTTCAATTAAAAACCTCTGTAAACAAACCTCTAATCCGTAAAAGAAGTTGTTATTCGTAGATGTTTTACCAAAAGAAACTTTATCATCAAAATTTCCATCAATGAGAAAAGAAAATCCTAGATCCTGAGCAACCATATTTGTTTTAAGCACTTTAAAGTCCTCTTCTTCTTCAACATTTTCTGAAAAGTCTGAATTTGCTTCCAGATCCTTTGCAGTTTCAGCTCCTGTTTTTACTGTTTCAGCTCCTGTGCTTCCTGTTTCCTTAATTCTTGCACCTGGTCTCACTTTTGAAAAAGAGAGATTTATTAAGTATTTGAAATTGAAGAAAAAGGAATCGCAGCATTTGAAGGAAAAGATTATTTTAAGATAATGTTAAAAACCAAGCCTACCTAACTTTTAAAAAACAAAAATTTTGAACAAAAGTTAACCAACAAAAACCAAAGTTAACAAATAAATATCAAATTGATCTGAACAAATTATTGTAATGGATCGTAAACAAAGGATCAATGAATTGAGAAAAAACAAATATGACCATTTAATTTTTTATTTCAAGATTACATTATTTAAAAAATTTTCTTCGTAAAATTATTTATTTAAAGCATAACTCATTACTAATAAAGTTTTTATGGATCTTTTACAATTATATCAGCATAATCTTGTCTTCTGAAATATTATCAAGATTTTAAAGTTCTTATCATAATAAATCCTCTCATCCTGATTAACCTTGACACTCATTGGTAATATGGTTTTCATATCTAAAACAATGAACAAATAACATTGTTTAAAATGTAAAACATGTTACCTTACCCAGTTAATATCCCTGTAAATCTGAGGGGATCATTGGGGGTTTCTAAACCACTGCTGGACATTGAATTTTCTAAACAAGATGAGTTAGACCCACTTCCAGTTCCATTCCCACTTCCAGACTCATCACCATTTATAGAGCTTGTATTACAATTGGCACTTGGTCTAACAGTTGTCATATATTCATCCTCGGTTTTATTTTCATCCTGATTAGTAAAATCTATATAACATTTGCTAAACATATTCTTGTTCAGGTTCAAATTTAAGAATTTTTCCAAGTTATTAAAAAAAGAACTTTTGTAAAAGTTAAATTAAGAAATCAAGACAATGAACAAGAATTTCAACTTATTACAAATTATAGTTGATCTAATACTTCAATAATATTTTGCCTGTTTTAATACAGGAATTTTTCAGGTGTGAGCGAAACTTTTTTAGCTGGTAGCTCAAAATTATTTTTTTTCTTGCTCACCCCTGTAATTTTCTTGCTTACTCTTAGTGAGAACATATAGCCCTTAATTTTGACCTCATATTGCACGGGTTTTAACTATTTGAATTTTAGAATTTTCTGAATCTTTACTATTTTTTGCGAAGCTAATCCTGAAAACTTTAGCTTTAGGGGAGAGTAATTTTTAAGGGGTTGAGCGGCTTCTCCTTGGCTCATCCCTGTATCTGCCCTTGCTCAGCTAGTAGTTCCCTGACAAGCTATTCAGACAACAGATTTCCTAACTTTTTTCTTACTAAAAGGTTTAGTATAAAAACATTACTTTTGTAAAGGAATCTGCCAAATTAACAGTGTTTATGGAACAGCAGAAACCAGCATCTGTATTCGTCATAGTCACTGAAATAATTATAAAATTTTCAATGTATTTAATTAAGATGATGCTAAGTTTAAGGGACTTTAGACATAAATTCAAGCTACCCTCCATATACAATTCACATATAGTATCCTTTTAATCTTCTTCTGGTTAGGGATGGCAGAGATATCCTTAATTTAGCTGCAGGGACACCAAACAAATTTAATTCTTTTTATTTTCAAAATTAGCCGCAGTATGATTGAAGGATGAACGAGGGATGGACAAACAAGAAGAAAGAATGAAACACAAGATAATATTATAACATATAAATTACGTGAAAATTTTGAACGGAAATGACTGAATTTCATTTGTTCATTTTGGCAAATTTTGTTTAACAAAAATTTCTATGGAAACCCTAGATCAGACTATGTTGCGTCGCCGAGAGGCCAGGATGGGGGGGGCCTAGGAACTAAAGGCACAGCGGTGCCCAACAGCTTATGGTTGCTGCCACAGTGCATGCACCCTTTCATATTCTTAGCTAACTTCAATCAAATATTAAAGGTTGCAACTTTTCTATTGACAGAATGATGGGGGGAGGGGGAAGGCTATTTAAAACATATTTAAGAATTTGTTTAACCCATTTCATGCATTTATTTACTTGTTTTTCTTTTCAGATAGGGAGACTACAGGTTGTGAAAGGAAAAATTAACATGCAATGTAAATTAACAAACACTATCTAAACAGTGACAGGAAAACAGAAAAAACAGAGAGTTTTATATTTTTTTTACATATTTACTTTTTTTAAAATTTTAAATTCAACAATTATTATGAATTTTGTAAGTATATTTGGGTACAGATCATACAGAAATATTATTGTCATCTTATTTTCCTTTTCTTCTTTTGATGACTGTCCCTTCCAGCAATTTGCTGCTAAGTCTTCCTCAGCTCAGATCTGTCTACACTCGTGACTGACTAGCTCGTAATAACCCTGGCAGTTTTTTTTCATCTAAACTCCAAAGTCAGCATTATTGTGTTTTGACCATGCAACACACATGCACACATTCAACTTTATCCCTGATCAGTATAGTGGAGATCAATGACCTTGATCTTTCTTGACTACTATATTTATGTAAAACTATATTAGGGCGATGTAGATTGATTGACTGTAAGTTGGTTGATAATTAGAAAGGTAGGCTTAATTGACTTTAAGTCTGTTGGGCTCCTCCACTCGGACTCAGCAGTCACAAATAATCAGTAAATAGATGTATTACAAACCTGCAATAAAATGCAGGTAAAGTAAAAATAAATGATAATGTATTAATGTAGTTGAATATTTAATAATATATCTCTTACTAGTTTTTTTTGTGTCAGAGAGAAAAGGAGTACGTGATTAAGGGGGAGGGTTTGATGGAATATAGTTAAAAACATTTATAAATACTTCTGAAAATATAAACCCAGTTGCTTGAGTAGACGTTACTATGGATTGCAAAGTTATACATGGATTTGATCTTTCATATAATAAAATGCTTCACTGTTTGTTGTTTCTTTTGTCAGATAGAGAGGTAAAGTCGGAAAAATTGTTTGGTTTGGATTTGGGGCTGGTAGGGCGACATTTTGTGGGGGGTTCTAGGAGATAGGTTTATGTTAAACAATTTAATACAATGAACATAGTTCCCTCTCTCACAACAGGCTAGAGAGCTCTGAGCTGACACCCTTCCGCTGGGAGGGTCGGATACACACTGTTATATTTTTAATTTTCTGTTCATTGAATGTATGCAATACAAACAATATTTTAGCCCTAACTTATTTTTCTGTTAGAGTTTATTCAATTTAAATGAATGAGATCAGATTAAATTCAGAAGTTTCAAAGATTTTTTATTCATTTCTTCAACACCATGCGTAGCACCGCTAGGTTGCACTCATGATATTGCCTGCCAAATCTTTTACATTTTTACAAATATTTTCATTTCTGAATAACTTTCTGTATTTTAGCGAACTACAGTATACAGAATTTTTTACATTTTAATCCATTTATAAAAAATGATAATGAGATGCTATTGTAACAGGAATAGTACAAATATTGTTTTGCATTAAATTTTTCTAACAAAAAAAATAAGTAAATAAAGGATTTTTTTTGTTTCTGCAGTTTTCAAATTATTCATAAATTAGGGATATTTTATTAAAAAAAGGTGTAGGGGTTCCACTTTCCGAAAATTATGAATGTTTTATTACGTTTTAATATTTACAGTGTATCACCATCTAAATTTGAATCAAATTTTATCTTGATTTGGGCATGCTCCTTCGAATGGCCTCTTGAAATTACATTTTCCTTATTGACAATATTAAACACTTTAATTATATTAAAGTAAACTGTAAACTCACCAAACTTTTTGCATTCTTGTCGTTTTCCTTGCCATTTACAAAAGAGAAACATTCTTTCACAACTTGGGGTAATCTAAGATAGAACTTCTTTTATATGAACAATCATGCATGATGTGAAAGCACCACCCCCATTCCATGAGATATCTAAAACCATTTATTACATTCATTTTTTAAGAGATTTTCAAATATAGAAATTGGCTGTGGCTTAATAAATAAAAGGTTATTATCCATTTCAAATTTGTTTAAAACACTGACCCCCCGTTTGACTGTCCTCCATCCTACCCTATGCATCAAAGAAAAAGTTGCTCACAGCTATAATCGTGAAAAAGTGCAGAAGTTTTAGCGTTAAAATGTAAACCCTTTTTGAGTTTTAGGAAAAACAAAGGGGGGGAGGGGATGGAAACACCCACCTCCCCTGTCGTGATAGGGTTAAAACATTTGATCTTTATCCCAGTAAGCTATGTTTTGCTCACAATTTTATCACATATTTTTTGCTTTTACTCTTTTATCCTGTTTTGTAGGTGAATGTGTTTTTAACAATACATTAAATACATCTAAATAATAGTTCATTCTTGGAGATATTTTCCTATCGTACGTTTACAATCTTTTTGCTTTTACATTCATTTGTAAAAACCATTTTTTTTTTCTCTGGTACAAGGAGTTTGTACATCATAGACAGGGTACATATCTATTATATATAGTTGTAGAGACCTGTTGGTATATGTATGTATAGACCTGGTACATGAGGTTTCTGACAAATTTTTCTTCTTTTTCCATCATTTCATGGTCAGTTGCTCTGAGGAGGTGTGGGTCTGTATTGTACTTAAGTAAGCTCAATATCATCTGAACAAGGTTTACAATTTTTCATCAATATTGAGTTTTGATTTTAAGTCTCATTTTTGTTTTGATCTATCACTCTCATTTTTGTTTTGATCTAGCACTCTCATTTTTGTTTTGATCTATCACTCTCATTTTTGTTTTGATCTAGCACTCCCATTTTTGTTTTGATCTATCACTCTCATTTTTGTTTTGATCTATCACTCTCATTTTTGTTTTGATCTAGCACCTATATTTTGTTTTGATCTAGCACTCTCATTTTGTTTTGATCCAGCACTCTCATTTTTGTTTTGATCTAGCACTCTCATCTTTGTTTTGATCTATCACTCTCATTTTTGTTTTGATCTAGCACTCTCATTTTTGTTTTGATCTATCACTCTCATTTTTGTTTTGATCTAGCACTCTCATTTTTGTTTTGATCTAGCACTCTCATTTTTGTTTTTATCCAGCACTCTCATTTTTGTTTTTATCCAGCACTCTCATTTTTGTTTTGATCTAGCACTCTCATTTTTGTTTTGATCTAGAACTCTCATTTTTGTTTTGATCTAGCACTCTCATTTTTGTTTTGATCTATCACTCTCATTTTGTTTTGATCTAGCACTCTCATTTTTGTTTTGATCTAGCACTCTCATTTTTGTTTTTATCCAGCACTCTCATTTTTGTTTTTATCCAGGACTCTCATTTTTGTTTTGATCTAGCACTCTCATTTTTGTTTTGATCTAGAACTCTCATTTTTGTTTTGATCTAGCACTCTCATTTTTGTTTTGATCTAGAACTCTCATTTCTTTTTTGATCTAGCACTCTCATTTTTGTTTTGATCTGGCACTCTTCTTTTGGTTTTGATCTAGCACTCTCATTTTTGTTTTGATCTATCACTCTCATTTTTGTTTTGATCTAGAACTCTCATTTTTGTTTTTATCCAGCACTCTCATTTTTGTTTTGATCTAGCACTCTCATTTTTGTTTTGATCTATCACTCTCATTTTTGTTTTGATCTAGCACTCTCATTTTTGGCTCTTTCAGTGTTCAGGAAAGATTACAAAGGCCGAATTTAAAGAATTTGAGCGGCTGCTTAAATATAAGCCGCAACTCAAATATGGTTGTTTTCACTTAAAATTGTATTCAATGTTTCAAGATTTAAGTCGGCGCTCAATTGAAACTGGTTTTTGGCGGATTTAAGATGCGGCCCAATTTCATTAAAATCGGATTCAGGTCATTTAAAAGGGAAGTTGGTGTTTAAAAACAAAATTTAAAATCTAAAAAGTTCTTTTATCATTAACAGAGACTACATAGTACATACTTACCACGAAGCCATTGAACAATCAATGCAAAACATTTACCTTTACACTAAAGCCGTTTTCTTGAGGGCTCCAGACTTGTCATGGGTTAACGGGTTGTTAGCATAAGCCATGTTAGATTGCCACAGAAACAGAAATTTTTAAATAAAACAAACTTGAACATAAAAAAATGTTTCATGGTTGAAAAAATTGCATTTTCCTGGTTCTTTAAAGTGGTGTTGTATTTATTCCATGGTGGCTTCTAAATAAAAAATATAGAATTCATTTTGTTTTATTTTCCCAATTCAGGATTTTATTAGCCTGTATACAAGTGGTGTTTAAATAAGATCAAAATAAACGAATCATGGAAGTTCGTGGTCTCCAGTAGAATCTAAATATTACTAAGAACTTCTTTGAGTCACCATGCGTAAAGTTTCAAATTGAAAAAGTGACTTATCAAACCCCTCCAGTGAAAATGAAATCCCTCTGGTCAAAATAAACATGCTTTATATATGTCCGAAAATATAGGCCTGAACGGAGGAAAAGAACAGTATCGTTAGCAATCAGCTGATTCCATCCTTTTTCTTTAGTTCAGGCTTAGAGCTATAGCTATATCTGCTGCAACAGAGTCAAAATTTCTCATAATGTAATAAAAGCAACCTAGTAGAGAAGAATATATGCCAATTTTTTAGATATTGTAGATATTATAGAGTCACCTAAAAAAATTGAAAAAGTTTAATATTTAAATGACCAGACAGAGCAGGCTGCTCAGGTCTACTTTTAAGAATCTATGCCTAAATCACTTCAACTTTAAAGCTCAATACTAATGAACTCATTGTAGCCATTACCTTGAGTGCAGAGTGCATAAACTAACCTGGGTTGCCTCCAAAAGACTGCGCAATGATACCCTTGAACAAATAGTTTTGATTTGATATACAGATGTGATGTTACATGGTTCCAGATTGTGTAGGTGTACATTTAGATTTCTTAAGGGGGAGGGGGGTACCCAGCTAACATTCCATCTGCGCCATATTTTGGTCTTCGATATATCGTATGTGCGATAGCGAACAGGTTTCTATACCTCCATAGTATTACTCCATGTCCCCTTCACCGCTAGGATCCAGATTACGATTGTGGAATTAGGTTTCCATATGTTAGATTCATAATATTCAATTATTTAAATATCGGTGGTGAATTATGACTGTAAATAAATTCAATCAATCATGATCTGATATTCTGTCTTTGTATGTTTAATCATGCATTGGACTAGTTATTGACAATTGTTTTGTAACTAATGTTTGCGGCTAAAACTAAGAGATGAGTTATTGAATCTTTTATCCTAAATGTATTGATCTATATAATAAGTTTTAAATTTTGATATTTACATTAAATAGTTGAATGTAAAAAGTAAATACGGTTAGTTGTAATTACTGTATACTGCTTTAGCTAATTAAGACACCTAACTGTGAAACTAATGGAACTAACTAATTCGAGTTTACTTGGAAAGAGATTCTTAAAATATCGGAATCATTTTCCAATTTAGGAATTCTCATCTTTTTATATCAGAATTGAGCTCTTATACATGAAATGAAGATTAAAAGTCTAATAATTACAAAATATTCTTTCCTAAATTAAGAAAATGATTTTAGGGATGAAATTAAGGAAAGGGATATCCTTGAAAGCTGGAAAATGAATCTCGTGCATTTCCATTTCCAGTTCCATTTCCCGTTTGTGTTAACAGTGTATCAGAAAGATTGTTTATAGTGTATTTTGTAGTTTGTTAGTAAACAAAACAAAATTAAGCAAGAATCACTAAATTTGATAATAAACTGATTAACCAATGAGAAGTGCGAAATATCATCAAAATGAATCTAAACCCTATTGCTGCTGGGGAGGGGGGGCCTGTTTTTTTTATTTTTACATAACTAAAAAAGTATTGGTCTGAGGCTGTTGAAATTTTCTAACTTTTCCTACATACCCAAAGCCCTCTATCAAAATGAATCTTAAATGACTAGTTTTAATCACAACATTATGCAAATTTTCTACTGAGAGAGGTTCTGCCCCCTGCAACCCATGCCTATACTTGACTTTGTGTGCCCAACCATATAAAGCTTCAACAATCATGAGTCAATGTCGAAAGTTAAATTTTTTGGATGAAAAAAAAATTATTCTTGTAACAATCATATGATGTTGATGACCAAGGAAAAACCAGGTGTTAGGTAGTTTAGGAGCACATTTCTAGCTCAAATACAACATTTTAATGTTTGCAACAATTTTCTACCTTTTTCTGTCATATTATTAATTATATTGCTAACCTTATATTAGAGCAAACTGTGACTCCAGGGAAATCAATGTTGGATATTGGATAGTTGGTAGTTTCCACAGTAGTTATAGTCGGTGTATTATTGTACTGTAAAATATAGATGATATTGGATAGTTGGTAGTTTCCACAGTAGTTATAGTCGGTGTATTATTGTACTGTAATATATAGATCATATTGGATAGTTGGTAGTTTCCAAAGTAGTTATAGTCGGTGTATTATTGTACTGTAATATATAGATCATATTGGATAGTTGGTAGTTTCCACAGTAATTATAGTCGGTGTATTATTGTACTGTAATGTATAGATGATATTGGATAGTTGATAGTTTCCACAGTAGTTATAGTCGGTGTCTTATTGTACTGTAATATATAGATCAAATTGGATAGTTGGTAGTTTACACAGTAGTTATAGTTTGTGTATTATTGTACTGTAATATATAGATCATATTGGATAGTTGGTAGTTTCCAAAGTAGTTATAAACGGAGTATTATTGTACTGTATTATATAGATGATATTGGATAGTTGGTAGTTTCCACAAAAGTTATGGTCTGTGTATTATTGTACTGTAATATATAGATTATATTGGATAGTTGGTAGTTTCCACAGTAGTTATAGTCGGTGTATTATTGTACTGTAATATATAGAAAATAAATGATATTGGATAGTTGGTAGTTTCTTTAGTAGTTATAGTCAGTGTATTATTGTACTGTAATATATAAATCATATTGGATAGTTGGTAGTTTCCACAGTAGTTATAGTCAGTGTATTATTGTACTGTAATATATAGATCATATTGGATAGTTGGTAGTTTCCACAATAGTTAGAGTTGGTGTATTATTGTACTGTAGTATATAGATAATATTGGATAGTTGGTAGTTTCCACAGTAGTTATAGTCGGTGTATTATTGTACTGTAATATATAGATGATATTGGATAGCTGGTAGTTTCCAGTTTCCACAGTAGTTATAGTCGGTGTATTATTGTACTGTAATATATAGAACATTATGGATAGTTGGTAGTTTCTAGTTATATTTGGTGTATTATTGTACTGTAATTTATAGATGATATTGGATAGTTGGTAGTTTCCACAATAGTTATAGTTGGTGTATTATTGTACTGTAATATATAGATCATATTGGATAGTTAGTAGTTTCCACAGTAGTTAAAGTCAGTGTATTATTGTACTGTAATCTATATATGATATTGGATAGTTGGTAGTTTCCACAGTAGTTATAGTCGGTGTATTATTATACTGTAATATATTGATGATATTGGATAGCTGGTAGTTTCCTCAGTAGTTATAGAAGGTGTAATATTGTACTGTAATATATAGATGATATTGGATAGTTGGTAGTTTCCACAATAGCTATAGTCGGTGTATTATTGTACTGTAATATATAGTTCATATTGTATAGTTGGTAATTTCCATAGTAGTTATACTCGGTGTATTATTGTACTGTAATATATAGATCATATTGGATAGTTGGTAGTTTCCACAGTAGTTATAGTCGGTGTATTATTGTACTGTAATATATAGATGATATTGGATAGTTGGAAGTTTCCACAGTAGTTATAGTCGGTGTATTATTGTACTGTAATATATATATGATATTGGATAGTTAGTAGTTTCCACAGTAGTTGAAGTCAGTGTATTATTGTACTGTAATATATAGATTATATTGGATAGTTGGTAGTTTCCACAATAGTTATAGTCGGTGTATTATTGTACTGTAATATATAGATGATATTGAATAGTTGGTAGTTTCCACAGTAGTTATAGTTGGTGTACTATTGTACTGTAATATATATATGATATTGGATAGTTGGTAGTTTCCACAATAGTTATAGTCGGTGTATTATTGTACTGTAATATATAGATCATATTGGATAGTTGGTAGTTTCCACAGTAATTATAGTTGGTCTATTATTATACTGTAATATATAGATCATATTGGATAGTTGGTAGCTTCCACAATAGTTATAGTTGGTGTATTATTGTACTGTAATATATAGATCATATTGGATGGTTTTTAGTTTCCACAATAGTTATAGTTGGTGTATTATTGTACTATAATATATAGATCATATTGGATAGTTGGCAGTTTCCACAGAAGTTATAGTGGGTGTATTATTGTACTGTAATATATAGATCATATTGGATAGTTGGTAGTTTCCACAGTAGTTATAAACGGAGTATTATTGTACTGTATTATATAGATGATATTGGATAGTTGGTAGTTTCCACAGTAGTTATAGTCGGTGTATTATTGTACTGTAATATATAAATGATATTGGATATTTGGTAGTTTCTACAGTAGTTATAGTCTTTGTATTATTGTACTGTAATATATAGATCATATTAGATAGTTGGTAGTTACCACAGTAGTTATAGTCAGTGTATTATTGTACTGTAATGTATAGATCATATTGGATAGTCGGTAGTTTCCACAAAAGTTATGGTCTGTGTATTATTGTACTGTAATATATAGATTATATTGGATAGTTGGTAGTTTCCACAGTAGTTATAGTCGGTGTATTATTGTACTGTAATATATAGATGATATCGGATAATAGTTATAGTCGGTGTAATATATATTTGATTTTTAAATTTAAATTACACAAAGGAGAAGAATCAAGAAACATGCATGAAATAAGCTAAAATTGTTATTTAAAGTAAAAAGATTTGGAAGTTTATAAAAAAAACTAAAAAAATGTTATGCACCTTGTCCATGATGGGTTTGAACAGTAAGATTAAGCAGACTAGAGCAAGGATGAACCAGACAATCCAGAGCACCCGTTGTATCCAGGATACTCCATCCTAAACAATTTAGGGCTGGCCAAGGTTTTGAAAATTAATTGAAAACTGTTAATTATATAATTGTTAACAAACTGAAGTTGAAAAAAAACTGTTTATAAAAAGAAAGAATGAATTTATTTCAAAATAACAGTGATTTTCCTTAATTGTTCAACTTAGAACTGTTTTGGTGATGCTAATGGAATAGTTGTTTTTTTGAATGATTTTTAACTATCCATTAACAAACTTTTATTAATTTATCTATATATTAAACTAAATGTAATGTTTAGCTATTATTCCATATTTTCCTTCGTATTGCAAGTGCTAAATCCTACACTATAAAAACATTCTCATTAAAAAAACAAAAAAAAAGTATTATTTTCCCATTCAGTGACAAATCACAAAAACATGCGGCGCAAATTTAAGGTTTAAATGTATCTTTCATTTAAATTACTTTTTTTGGGTATATGCTATAAATATATTACTGAGAAAATTGACATTTTTTATTTTATAAATGCACATAAATACTTGATTTATAGCATGAAAAAAGCAAGTATAATCAAATATGCAAAATGATTATCAAATTAAAACTACAGGGTGTCCCAAAAAACATGGGAATTCAGTGACGAATTCGAAATCGTCTTTGTAATGAATTAGCATTGTAGTACCTAATTTCAAAAGCCATAATATTATTATGTCTGCTAGAATTTATTTTATGAAAACGGTAAATGGCTGTAAAGATGCGTCTATAATGTCTCTGCAAGATGCACAGTGAAGACGGACAAGTTTACTCTGTTTATATACTTTAATTTTCTTGTTTTACTAAATAGAACCGTATGCAGTCAAAACATAAACAAACAAATTGTGAACATAAGCAGACGAAACTCTTACAGATTACAGCTTTCACAGTAGGTATCACTATACTAAATCAAAAAATTATTTAAAAAGACGATATTGAATTCGTCACTGAATTCCCATGTTTATTGGGACACCCTGTAGAAGTTTCGTGGTTTTCTAGTTTCTCCAGAATTCTTAGATCCCTAAGCTATCATTTTCTCTTTAGTTTAAAAATTCTTAGTTTAAAGGGAGTGTTCGCAAAAAATTAAAGGGGGTATAGGCTATTTTTTATTTTTATGATTTGAGAGTTATTCTGAAATCATTTTTTCCTGTCTCGAAGATTTTTGATAATGAAGCCGACATTTTCATATTTTCCAGGAACGCGACGTTTGAAAATCCAGCGCGCAAGAATGTAAATACCTCTGTGATATACTTGAGTCCATGAATCGAGGACTCTGCACAGTATTCTTTAACCTTAAATTTTGATAAAATCAGTGATAATTTGTAGCTTAAGTTGTAGCTTAAGTTTAGAAGAATAAGTTAAAATCTTACCCTTTTTTGTAAATCCTTTTTTTTTGAGAAAAAATTTTAACTTCAAATTCAATTTATACAACACGCTTAACTATATTTTTGAACAAAATTTTTTATATTTTAGGGGTCAAAAAGGAAAAAACACATTTGTTCTGTTTTTCAAATATTCTAGCATTAATTCTGTACTTATGACTAATTGTGACTATTATAGTGGTACTTCGGGGGCTTAAAAATTCCAAAAATATTTTAAGAATAGTAATTTTAAAATTTGTTCAGGGTAGTCATGACAAATTTGTAATATTATTTTATATGTTTAACTTACCTCTTCTAGTTCAGGCTGTTTAAATTTTCCATGGTTGTAAATGAAAACAGGGGAGTTAGGCCCAGTTAAGTAATTAGTAAGTTTCCTCATTTTCATTATCTTCAAAAATATAAAGATGTCATCGATCTTTACAACCCGTTATGATGTAAAGATTTAAAGAGCACTGATTTGGAATAAAAGGAAATAATCATCTATCAATAAATAGGAAATAGGAATCATTTTTCTTAAAGGGAGTGACCGGCTATGTAGTTGAACTGAGTATGCAGTGTTGTGGAAAACTTCTTTCGGATTCATTTTTCGACGTTCAAAACTCCTACTTTGGGGGTGGAAACGTTTTCAGAATTAGTTTTTTTAAATTAGAATTTAAATATCTTACACACATATTCATGTGAATTTAAATTTAAATATTTTACACACAAATTCATGTAAATTAGAATTTGAATATTTACACACAAATTCATGTTAATTAGAATTTAAATATTTTACACACAAATTCATGTAAATTAGAATTTATATATTTACACACAAATTCATGTAAATTAGAATTTAAATATTTTACACACAAATTCATGTAAATTAGAATTTGAATATTTTACACACAAATTCATGTAAGTTAGAATTCAAATATTTACACACAAATTCATGTAAATTAGAATTTAAATATTTTACACACAAATTTCTGTAAATTAGAATTTAAATCTTTCCACACAAATTTATGTAAATTAGAAGTTAAATAATTTACACTCATATTCATGTAAATTAGAATTTAAATAATTTACACTCATATTCATGTAAATTAGAATTTAAATAATTTACACTCATATTCATGTAAACTAGAATTTAAATAATTTACACTCATATTCATGTAAACTAGAATTTAAATAATTTACACTCATATTCATGTAAATTAGAATTACAACAGTGGCACTGAAAAACAATTTGGTTTCCTGTCAAAACAATTTTCTTTATGTTCTCACCTCTTTTATTTTAGATCGTTTAAATTTCCTTTTGTGCTGAAGGAAATCGGTAAACTTAGGCAGGGTTGTTTTAATAAACCAAGAATTCATCACAGCTTCTCTGTTAGGCCTGTTCAATTTGAATCCATAAAGTATTCATTATTCAAAAACCTTAAAGATTTCCAACCTGTTTTGATATTGTTTGTCCTGCAGAGGCAGAGGGGGTTCTTCCATTTTGAGTTCCTTTTAAGCACTCGACTGTAGCTTATAAAAAAAAATTAATTTCTTCATAAAATAAAAAAACAGTAAAAGCAAAATTCAATTTTTTTTCCTAAAATAAAAAAAAACGGTGACCAAAATTCTACTAAGTACCATTTGACTAGAGGGCTGGATTACCAAGATTGTTCACATGTTAAAAATATTCTTGACTTTTTTTTCAAAATTTTCATGAAAATGGAAAAAAACAGTTTAAAAATTAAAGAATGTGCCCATTATCTAAAGTCTATACGATCAAACAAAGATTGTGACTATAAAAGGGACTGTAAGCGCAATTTCATGTCAACCTCCATGCAAAATGTACAATGCTCGAATCACAACGGTACCCTTGAAACCTTAATCGGATCCAAAATGAGGAAGATACTGTAGTTGTTTTAATCGAAAATTGTTTAATTTAATGTTTTCTCCATTTTTCTTATATAAGCAGGAAATGCGCAAGAAACTTTTGCAGAGAACCTGCAAATAAAAATGAACAGTTTAAAGAAAAGAAAACATGGATATCTAATTCATATTTGAGCAGACAAAAATGTTAAGGGTACCGTTGTAAATCGGGCATTGCCATCTTGGTATGAAGGGTCACTTGAAATTACACTTACAGTCCCTTTACAGATTAAAAAATGCCAATCAATGAATCAATTGAACAGATTTTTAATTTTACTATTTTATGTTTTACTCTGTTATATATGCGTTCAGAGCCTTTAATGTTGGCAATTAGAGTTAGGTTTAAAAAAGCTGTTGTTTATGTTTGAAAACTATTGACATGCAGCATAATTATTTGCATCCATTTTGCATTTAAGTATTTTAATCAAAAATGTAAATTTGAGATATGTAGCTCAATAGAAAACCTCCAAGTTTTGGTATTTTTAAATGAGAAACCAAATGTTTATATTGGGGCACTGCCCCATTATCACCCCCCCCCCCCCTCCTGTATAACCTTGAAACTTTTAGTATTTAAAAAAAAAGATTTTTTTTGGTACTTTCAGATTAGAGTTGTGTTGGGTAACTAGTGTGTATTTCTACTTAAACTTCAACTATATGTAAATTACCATGGTAAAAGCTAAGGAAACCGAGACATTTTACTTTCATTTTGTTTTAAATAATACAAACTTCCACGGAGTGGTTCAAATCTCCCAAATGCGAGCAAAAAATACTTTGCGTGCGCACACAAAATTGCGAAATGAAATATGCATAGCTGTCCTTGTAATATATATAATTTGTCAGGTTGCGACGTTATCTCCGAAATTATTCCCCCGGCATATATAAGTGGTGTCCCGTGTAAAATGAATGAGTTCCCATATATGTTCTCTGACGGAACTTACCAAATATAAGCCACGTAACGATTTCTCCAGTGAATTAAATTATCTTGTGGCATCTTCTCGTCCGTACATTTTAATCCTTCATTGCTCACCAATTAATTCTTCTGAGAGAGCAATAATATTTAGTTCCACAACAAATATACTTGATTTAAACTTAATCATAACTTCTTTATCAAAAAAGCTTCTAAAAAAATTCTCTCGCTTTGATTATTTCTTCCTAATCCACCTAAGCAAGAATTGGTAATTAAAGAATTAAAAAAGTTTTCAAATTTGTTATGGATGTAAAGTTTGTATTTGATCCAAAAAAAGAAGGACAAATATTCCAGTTGAATAAAATTATTGAAATAAAATGTTGACAAGAATACTTGCATCTTCTTCTACGCACCTAAACATAAAGAACTTTAAGATTATATTCGATGAGATATCTTCTATCTTATAGGGTGGTTCACTATGAGGTCAACATTTGTTTTTGACTAGAGTAGTAGCTCATGAGGTGCACAGACATTTGTTTTAATTAAAATTTTTTTTTTATGTTTAAGGTTGGCACAAGGGGTTCAAATTGTAGATTTTAACTTGAAATAGTAAATTTTTTTTTCAATATTATGAAAGAAATCGAAAATTGGCGGATTTTCTCAAATTTATTAATTCTCAGAATTAAAATATGGAATATTAGAAAAATAAATAGTTAATGCAATTTAATCCTTTTTTCAAGGGGGGGGAGGTCAAATCAGTTCTTATCGCCTCTCAGGGCTCATATGCGTATTCAGGGGGTTCAGCCTCCCCTGTATCAGTGAAATCTATGGTTTCCAAGGGTTTATTTGGGCCCTAATGGTATCTAACCACCATTTTTTTCTAATATTCTATATCTTAATTCTGAGAAAAAATAAATTTAAGAAAATCCGCAAATTTTCGATTTCTTTCATAATATCACAAACAAATTCACCCTAGAAAGTTAAAATCTAAAACAAACCTTCCTTATTTTTATAAATTTGGTTATTTTAAGATTATAGAAAGAAAAAAGCTTGAATTTATTAAAGTTTAAGGGTAACAAAGGTTTGTAATATTTCGCGAAGAATTTAAAACTTTGAACCCCTTGTGCCACCATAATCATATATTTGTGAACCATACCCCTCAAATTTACCCTGTTGTAAGGTCGTCTCCGACAAACTGTATCTCCGTTGAACCCTCCGTCCACTTACCAAACCAAACCTTTTCAAGGCTTTCGAGTAATATAAACAAAAACCTCATGGAACTTAACGTGCATTAAAAGAACCAATTTAAACTTAATTTTCAGTGAATCATTTACAAATAAACAGTGAAATTACTTTAACCAGATAAATATTCATTTCAGAAGAATTAAATTGCTTTAGACTTCAGTTCAAACAACTTTTTAAATTGCTTTAGACTTCAGTTCAAACAACTTTTCGGCCTACCACAGTTTTCTAGATTGTAAGTTCCATATACCTAATTCACAACAGTACCTTTTAAACCTTTAATTTATCAGTTCACAATAGAACCTTTTAAACTTTTATTTATCGATTCACAACAGTAATAAAATATGATCCACTAAACCTGCTAAACCTAGAATTTCCAATACCTTTTAATCCTTTATTCAATTCTCAAGGTTACATGTTTCTAAAACAATTGTTCGATTCACATCAACGCCCATTTATTGTTAGTTACCCTTAACTGTTTAATCTTCATTAACAATCATTATTTATACACATGTACGTCAATAACAATTTGTATTTTGTTGTAGGAAACCTCGTTACTGAAATATACTGTTTTCAAGAAGTTATCATCTATCTGTGTCTGGTAGAAAAGAGTGTTTTCCTTGCCAACTCGCCTTATTTCCCTCTTTCGAGTATTATTCCTTTTGTTCGGCTCACAATATTATATGTGATATATAAAATATAAAAAAACTGTCCGTACACCATATAAGCTACTAATCCAGTCGAAAAAATGTTTGTCCTCATTATGAACCACCCTAATATATATACTTTGCTTGTCTGTCTGTCTGTTTGTTTGTATCCAATAAACGTCAAAACGGTTGACCCGATTGGTCGCAAATAAGATGGCAAATAAAGTCGACTTTTCAAAGTAAGTAAAAGGCAACTTCTCGAAAATATAAAAAATAAACCATTTTCTTCTCACTGTAGTGTATACCAACGAGAAGTTGCCTTTACTCGTCTCAAGCTCGATGTTTACACTCGACACTAGACACTACACACTAGACACCAGACACTACACACTAGACACCAGACACTATACACTAGACACCAGACACTAGACAGAATATGAGAAGCTGAAAAGCCTATCCGACTAATATTTAAGCTAATACAAATTTTCAAAGTTAACACATGTTTTCTCGCCCAGCCATATACAGCCATATACAGCCATATACAGCCATATACAGCCATATACAGCTATATACAGCGATCTATAGCCATATACAGCCATATACAGCCATATACAGCCATATACAGCCATATACAGCCATATACAGCCATATACAGCTATACATCCATATACATCTATATATAGCCATATACATCCATATTCATCCATATACAGCCATATACAGCCATATACAGCCATATACAACCATATACAGCCATATACATCCATATACTGCCATATACAGCCATATACAGCCATATACAGCTATATACAGCCATATACATCAATATACATCCATATACAGCTATATACAGCCATATACAGCCATATACAACCATATACAGCCATATACATCCATATACTGCCATATACAGCCATATACAGCCATATAAAGCCATATACACCCATATACAGCCATATACAGCCATATACAGCCATATACAGCCATATACAGCCATATACAGCCATATACAGCCATCTACAGCCATATACAGCCATATATAGCCATATACAGCCATATACAGCCATATACAGCAATATACAGCCATATACAACCATATACAGCCATAGACAGCCATCTACAGCCATATACAGTCATATACAGCCATCTGTAATGATCAATGTTGTCTATTTGTGCATAATTTTGCATATTTTTCTCTTTTCTTTTGGAAACCTGTATTTTCAAAAATTTATTTAAACAAATTTAAACTACACCATTTATATATGTATTTATATGTTTGTGTGTGAATAAATCTGTATAATATAATAATATTAATCTAATGGTTTATTTAATGGTTTGGCAAATAAACAAACAAGTGTACAGTTGCAGGGAATCTTGAATATAAGGAAACATGACGGTAAAAATTCCGTACAGTCGTGTCTGAAGTCTCATCCTTTGAGGGTAACCCTGTAACCCTGTAGCTCGGTTAGCACAATGCATAAATTATTTATTAAGGCGACCTCAAGTCCAGAAGATAACACTTTTGATAAAAAGTAAAAGTAATTATTTTACTGTTTGCTTAATGTTTTACTGCGTAATATATCAAGGTTGAATAATATAATAATAAACTAGCTGAAGAGCCCGTCGTCGTTACCAGTGAAAAAAAGGAAAAAAATTTTGACAAATCAAATTGAAAAAAATTGGATTTTGTTTAGCTCCCAGGCTGCCCATGAGTGTTCACAAAAAATTGTCAGCCCAATCGGTATGCAGCCGTTTGGTCGGCTATAGGAAACATATATATGAAGGTCTTGTATTATATAGATTTTATATTCAAACAAAAAATTGTTCAAAAAACGATAATAATTTTTAAACTTTGTGATAGAATGTTCTTTTTTCGGTTTTTTATTTTCCCTTGCTAGAAAAAAAAAACAATATGTGCGTAAATAATAAGTTTATAGGTAATTTTATAAAAAAAAGGCTCTTAGGCGCTTCGCGCTCATCTTCTATTTCATTTGTAAACATTTTCTCTTTGAATATATTGTAAACAAAAAATAAAAATTCGCAGATTTTATAAAAGAAATGTCGTGGATCTTCAAAATTCGATCATCCATAGGTTTCTTGGGGTCACGTGAGGTCCCACAACAAATGTGGGCCCGATCAGTTCAGCAGTTTTTGACGTTTATTGGAAACAAACAAAC